TTATTTAACAACTTACTATCCTAACGATTTAGTTCTACATCTTTGTAATGTGCGTGACTAATTTTTTTAACAAAATTCCTAAAAATTACTCCTCTGGTATTTTTTAATTTGTAGTCTTTTTAGGTAATTGTACCAGTTGCATTACAAAATAATTCACATTAATCTTGTTAAAAATGAACTTAGACATTTCTCTTTATTGCTCTTTATATCAGCTTTCAGGATAGTGTTTTCTTGAACATTCTAAGAAAAATTGGGAAAAGACTTTTCTTAATGACCAATTGTAAATAATGAATAGGCTTTTAAGCACATTCAAACATAGACCACTTTTCAAAATAAATAATTAAGACAGGTTTACAATATTGGTCAATACATTTCTTAACAGCATGTAATTTAATTATGTATATAATCTTTACTTTATTCTTAGGCAATATGTTGATAACTTTGTGCGCCTCATACACTGTACATAAAAATGAGTACCGGTATTGTGAAATAAAACATAAACAAGCAGTGGCGGATCCAGGGGGGGCCGAAACGGCCGCGGCCCCCCCTATTGGCGGCGCAAAAAAAAAGGAAAAAAAGAGGAAGAAAAGAAGAGAAAAAAGAAAGGAGAAGAGAAGAATAAAAGAAGAGAAAAGAAAGGAGAAGAGAAAAGAGAAGAGAAAAGAAAGAAGAGAAAAGAAAGAGAGAGAGAGAGAGAAAGAGAAAAGGAGAAAAGAAAACAAAAAAAGCCCCCCCCCCCCCCCCCCCCCCAATTTGTGTTCCCAAAATCTCCGAAAAAGGGTTACTTTTTCACGCAACAAAGTCCGGTCCGTAATACACAAAAATCCGGCCCTTACTGACATTACACACCGGAGAAAGAGGGGTGCTTTCTAAGAGAGGGAACATAAATGCGCGTACCCTAGATAACACTGAGTGGGTGGGGGGGGGGGGGGGGGGAGTCGGGTGAGAAAGGGGGAAGACAAGGAAATGGCGCCAAGTGACAGTAACGACGAATAAGGGAAAAACTGTAATCGGGAGATTTGGGGTCATTTCAGTAGGCTTGGCAAACGTCATTTGATAGAGGGGGCCGGGCCGGCCGCATAAAATCTCGAGCCGCGGATTCAAAGTTAAACGTTAAAAACAGCCCCTGCGCTACAAATGTCACCACTCTTTAGTGAGAAATTTGAAAAGGGCATAATATTTTGGATGTCTTTTAAATAGAAGCTATATACTCAACAGTCAAATTTTAAATTAACGGTAGGGCCGCTTCACAACTCTTATTTTGCCCATCATTTGGGTTCAGCTCATACCAACTCGCTAGTGCTTGTATTTGAACTCATGTTGGTAAAACTTGAAGTAGATTTATCCATGGTTGGTGTAATAGATCTTTCATTTTTACTAACCTAATTGTGTGCTACCACAATCATGATTGTTTCATTTTCCCTTTAAAGCAGGCGCGTAGCCAGGGGCGGTAGGGGCAGTAAAAGGACATTGGACGAAAAAGGAGCAGACAAGGAAATATTTTTGAAATTCTGACAAGTCGAGAACGGTACAACGAATCGTCATCTTTCTCTAATAATTTAATGAAATGTCAAAGCTTCCGCCCTTCGCTTGGGAGGGGGGAACTGAATTCAGACAAGGATTAAGAGTCGAGAATGGTACAACGAATCATCATCTTTCTCTAATAATTTAATTGAACGTCAAAGCTTTCGCGCTACGCGCGAGCGGGGAAAAACTAAATTCAGACAAGGATTAAGAGTCGAGAATTGAACAACGAATCATCTTCTTTCTCTAATAATGTAATGAAATGTCAAAGCTTCCGCGCTTCGCGCGGGAGGGTGAAAACTGAATTCCAACAAGGATTTAGAGTCGAGAATGGAACAAGGAATTATCTTCTTTCTCTAATAATTTAATGAAACGTCAAAGCTTCGGCGCTTTGCACGGGAGGGGGGGGGGGGAACTGAAGTCAAACAAGAGAAGACGAGAATGGTACAACGAATCATCTTCTTTCTCTAATAATTGAATGAGGCGTCAAAGCTAACGCTTCGCGCGGGAGGGGGGGGGGGAATCAATTCAGACAAGTATTAAGAGTCGAGAATGGTACAACAAATCGTCTTCTTTCTCTAATAATTTAATGAAACGTCAAAGCTTCCGCGCTTCGCGCAAAAGGGGGGGGGGAGGAAACTGAATTCAGACAAGGATTGAGAGTCGAGAACGGTACAACGAATCGTCTTCTTTCTCTAATATTTTAATAAAACGTTAAGCTTCTGCACTTTGCGCGGGAGGGGGGGGGGACTGAATTTAGAGAAGGATTAAGAGTCGAGAATGGAACAACGAATCTTCTAATTCTTTCTCTAATAATTTCATTAAACTATGAAAGGTCTAATTTTCCGCGCTTCGCGCGGAAGGGGGTGGGGAACTGAATTCGGACAAGTAATAAGAGTCGAGAATGGTACAACTAATCTTCTTTCTCTAATAATTAATGAAAGGTCTAAGCTTCCGCGCTTCGCGCGAGAGGGGGGGGGGAAACTAAATAATATAAATTTTTGAAATCTCGTTTATTTTCGTGATAAATAACACTTTCACAATATACATATTATGCTCAAATTTTTGCTCGATCGCTTCGCTCACTTGCTTTATAGCAAGAGGCTATAGCCCCCCCCCCCCCCAAAAAAAAAAAAAAAAAAAAAAATTGTACCGGTATCGTGCTTCTAATATGACCTTTTGATATTATGTTGAGTTAAAAAAAAAAGGTCTGCGCAATTTCGAAATTTCCGGCCCCCCCTATTGGAAAATCCTGGATCCGCGCCTGAACAAGTATAACATTATTTGATAAAATGGATTGTCCAAATTCACCAATGAAATAAAATGATCATCTAGGTCCAAACTAAGACATTAAATATGTTTTGATACATTATAGGACGTACACCTATCTTGGACTTGATATCTATTTTCTTTCAATTATTCATTGTCTAAAAACAGGTGTCTTATTGCATATGGAAATCATAAATGAACAAGTAGGTCAAGACTCATTGTTCAAAAACACAAATTTTCCATCACTCAATGCATAGCACAGCATCTGTGGACACTCATTTGTATGACTTGTTAGAAAAAAATCAATTAAATGCATGTTATTGGGTAAGTCCAAGGTATTTTGTCCTGTTTGTCAGAGACCACATTTAATAATTTACAACATCTGGGCCCTGTCTCACAAAGACCTACGATTGATCCAAATCAATCGCAAGTCCTCCAATCAAAATTAAGTTGCAGTCTCCTATATCTTATGTACATAGTTTAGACTCTTTGAGACGGGGCCCTGATGATTGTATCTAATTACTAGCCTTACTATGCAGAGCTTTTATCAGACCAAATATGAGGTTAAAGAAGTGGGATCTCAGGGAATTCGACACCATTCGTTCGGGTGTTTACCCAATAAAAGGTGTTACCAATCACCTAGATTAGCCTTCAGTTGTAGTAAAGTCATTATCTTACATTTTCACCACCCGAAGACTCTCTGAGAGATGAGGGGGCATTTCTCAATTGGCCTACAAGTTTGCTGTGTGCACTTTGCAGATGTGAAAAGTGAACACCCATTAATGATATTTAAACCAAGTACATACCTGCCAACATTAGAAAATAAGAATTGGGAATTTTTAGCACGGTATGCCTTCGAAAAGAGAAGGTTGAGTTCTGGGAAGAGGTGAAAAATAATTTGTGAGCGTTATCATTCTTATTATGCAAGTGTGGAAGAACATCAGATAAGACATGTTCCCTGAAAAGCATAGCTCTTCAAATGCCTTCATATTCTAAATATGTCATGTAACATCGTAAAAATCCAGGGTAGGATTTTTACGCCACATGTTCGTGTAGTCCCATATACATCTTTCTGTGTACAGTGTTTGTAACTTTACCAAGACTTGGCCAAATTTCTTATCATTTTGATGATTCCAGAACCTTGCAATACACACAAATTCTTATATGCTAGATGATCAACCTTTTCTGGTCGATTCCACACCGTTTCTTTCACAATTCAATCGCATGACCAGAACTCAACTTCATCTTTAAAAATCCAGAAAATCAGAATATTCCGGATTTTTCAGAAGGGTTGGCAGGTATGCAAGTATGGTGTCAGTGAATTATGAACTTCTGCATATATGGAAACTGACGACACACTGGCTTTAGAACACATTTGATGTCAATTCATGATCAGAGCTCTACAATACTTGGTGCTGTATGGATAACAAGTGACAAGGGTCTAACAGGGATCCGCTCACTATCCATAAGAACCGCTATTCATCAGGATACCTAACAGGGCTCAAATTAATTTTTTGTCCACGGGGGCTCTTCCCCCCAAAAAAGAGCCCCCGTGAGCCTTCTCACGGGGCTCTTTTAGTACTGACGGGGGCTCTTTTCTATACAAATATCCATTGAATTGGTACCTATGATACTCCTCAATTATTTGCTGTTTCATCATTATCATTTTAATCAGCATTTTCCCTCTTACAAATTTACAAGCTACATAGCCGTTACTGACTTTCATCCCGTGATGACATTCTCTCGATGTCTTCCCGTTCTGCACATTATTTCGTCCTCATTATTGGGAGCAACCTTTACATTCTTTCTTTACTGAGCCGCGTAGCGGCGAGGCGATTTTGTGTGTGTGCTATTTTGGACAGGCGCGGATCCACGGGCCGATTCTACAGGCCAGCCCCCCCCCCCCCCCAGCCTCCCAAACCGGTAAAAAAATATGATAGTAACATAAATTTTACCTTAAAAAATAAAATAAAAAACCGCCCGCCCCCCCCCCCCTGACCTGCCAGTGACACAAATGCGGCATCAAAATATTTGTGCTTCTCTAACCGTAATTAAATGCCTAAAACCCCTGCCCCCCCCCCCCCAACACCAATTTACGCTCGCTACCCTCTACCTGATCGTAAATACTTTAGCCCCCCCCCCCCCCCCCCCCACTTTGATAAACGTTCCGCGGGGCCTGTGTATATAATATATACGCATACAACACTGATCTTTATGATGTCTTTAACGTGACTTATCTTCTTCTCCCCTTGCAAACGAGAAAGAAACAAGGTCATTAAAAGGGATTAAGCGACAAATAATGATTGTGATTCAAATTGATGCGAATATTTGTTTGAATAAGCACTGCTATTCACCCAAATCTTCTTTGTAAAAACAACTTTTACAAATCTCAGCCATGCTTACTGAGTTGAGACGTTCCATTCCATGTAAAATACTCATTAAAGAATACACTTCTCCTAATCTGAAAGTGATCTTACAACACAGTGGCAGAATTGCATGGCTGAGATTTGTAAAGGTCGTTTTTACAAAGATGATTCTGGTGAAAAGCATTGCTTATTCAAAAAAATCCTTGCACAATTTGAATCACAATGATTATTTGTCGCATGATCCTTTTATTAAATAACCTTGTTTTCTTTTTTGTTTGCAGGGGGAGAAGAAGCTATGTCACGTTAAGAAATCATAAAGATCAGTTGTATTATGCGTATATACATAATGATACCAGAATAAAATGTTGATTATCAGAATGTCATTTTGGAATACCTCTAAACAAATACCACATTGTCTTTAGCCCGTATCAGTATTAGTATGAGCCAATATAAAGCTAATATTCTTTATTCAGTTCAGTATAATGCTTTCAATTTCCTCAAAAATAGTTTGGCTATTTTTTTAGGGTTGAGACGCTAAGAAATGGTTTCAAATGTACATTACACAAACCCTGAACCATTGCAAAATGATGGTGGTTCTCTCTCCCTCTCTCTCTTTCTTTTAATCATGCATCATCAACTACATATAAAGCAGCAACCAAAAACTTAGGGTTATCTGAGATAGGTGAAAGTAAGAGTTAAAAAGAAAGTCATGCTAAAATGGCGCTTCACCTCCCCCCCCCCCCCCCTGAAAAAAAAATAGTGGTCCTCCTCTCCAGCATTCCCCCCCCCCCCACTTTAATATTCACCGGCCGGCTGAGTCGGCGCAAAAATGTTCCCCAAAAACTGGACCCCCCTAACCTTATGTGCATTTATCCAGCCCCCCCCCCCCCCCCTCCGCTCATACGCCGATCGCCGGCTGGCTGATTCGCCGCTAAATATTTTCTCAAGATTTGGGCCCCCCCCCCCTCTTGCCGCCGGCTGGATCCGCCCCTGATTTAAAACCCCCGTAAGTGATGTTTTCCTGGCATCTACTTACATGCGAAGCATCGTCCATTTTTTTTTTTTTTTTTTGTTGCTATTTTGAACCCCCGTATTGTTTTCCTGGCATCTACTAACATCTTACTGTGTGGGTCGATCTGGACACATAATGGCGTTTTTCTATGCACATCACATTTTCACTTGGCAGGCCAAGGGGGCCGGGGGGAGGGGGGGAGGAGGGGGTTAAACCCCCTAACCCCCCCCCCCCCCCCCCCCCCCCCCCCCGTAGATCTGCCCAGGGTACCATATCATTCCACGACATCTTGGTCTTCCTCTTCTTCTCAATAGGGACTTTTAGATTTGCGTGGACGTGGACGTGTTCTTTTAAGGCACTGGCAGTCACATGTGACGTCCTTTTAAGCACTGGCAGTGCCTTAAAAGGAGATCACACGTTGCAGTCCACGTTCTCAACGTGCAAATCTAAAAGTCCCTAATATTTATTTACTGGTTGAGGTTCATTATTTGCTGGTCATTTGAAATCACCAGATTTCAGCGGGTTTACGCTTTCACAATGAAAAACTTTTCCATGACCATGTTTCTGTCCTTGCGCGATCGCCTCCAGCTCCAGCAGACATGGCGCGGCAGCGTGCACACGTACCGTTACTAACGGCGCAGTAGGCCTATAACCACTGCTGACGGCGGCACTGCACTGCGAGCTGAATCGGTAATAATAGGCCTACTCGTAGAACGAGAAATCTTGCACGCTAATCTAAGTTCCATTGCATTGGTTTAAGGTTTGTAAATTGAAACTCAATATTGTGTTAAAGTTATAACAGAAAAGATATTCTTTATTTTATAATTCCACGGGGGCGATTTTTAATTTTGCAATCGCCCCCGTGAGCAACCTGACGGGGGCGATTATGTAGCTCACAGGGGCGAATCGCCCACTGCCCCCGTGTATTTTGAGCGCTGATACCTAATGACCTGCCCTCTTTCAAAATATGCACATCACTCAGGTTGTAGCCTACATCAGAACATGCAGCATTTGGATATGGGATGGGGGATTAAGGGGGAGAAATCTTCAAATCGAATCTTCACAACATGCACCTATATATCACACTACTGACTCATTTTGCGCTTCTATTTCATGTGACTTCAAACCTTGGTACCTGTCCTTGCATCGCCTGAGAGGGCGCTCAAGCAACAGAATACATGAGGACACGGCAAGAAGGGAGCCAGCTACAAAGAACGGCAGGTTGTACGATTCCTTTGCATCATAAAGAGCACCTGAAACGCAAGGCACAATATTCACTTTAATTCTCTTATTGATTTGAAATCACAGGATGAAAACAGATGATTAATATACCAAACAGATTATACTCAAAAGCATTTCAGAGTAGAACATAACATATATATGGAAAGGAAACGGCACAGGGAAGAAAAATAAATACATGTAATATTAAGAACAATATTCTGTTTTTAATCAATAGCACACATATCATTATCATACAATGTCTCTATGGGCTTCCAGGGGACTTTGCATATCATTTTCCTAGCTTTAGCTCCAGCAAGCGTAGTGCTCAGTGCATTCACCACCTGCAGATACCCACTTACTGCAACTGGGCGAGTGAGGCACATGTAAATTAATGTCTTGCCAAAGAACGTTAATATTGCATCAGGGATCCGGACCCTGGGCTTGTGGTTTACTATCTGGAGACTTATGCACTAAACCACAACAACTCTACAGGTAGTCATGAACTAAGATAATTTGTATCATTTGAAGGTTGTAGTCATTTCCCCCCCCCCCCAAAAGAAACAAATATCTCAAACAATGTTGCTACGTCAGGTTACAAATGGCAGTGAATAAAGAGTTAAGTTGTTCCTTCACTGAACTGATGGCACATACCTGCAAAGATAGGTCCAATGAAGTCCCCTACTCCAGTAAAGATAGTAAATATCCCCATGGCAGGGGCGAGATTCTCTACTCCTACAAATTTCCTCAGGACCACAGGAACAAGACATTTCAATAGTCCACTTGAGGCTCCAAAGAGAAAGGCAATAAATACGTACCTGAAAAGAGAAAGAACGTACTGCAGCTTTAACCACTTTCAAAATTTATTTTCTTGAACTTTAGCAGTAAAAATTGTTAAAAGAGTCTAAGGCCTGAGGTTTAGAAGTTGTCAGAAACAAAAACCTAGAGCAATGTTTCACTGCCATTTTTTTAGTCACTTGTGCTTCATCTTTTTGGATGTTATTATTATTCTCATTGGCAAGTTTAAAGTTGAATTCTATTGAAACTTTAAAGCCACAATACCGGGCTCGGGCAATTGGAATGTTGTTTATTGTCTGAGAGGCTGTTTAAGCCTATACATGCAGGGTCTATCCACTTTTAATGTGTAAGAAAAATACTGTAACTCTACAAAATGTCTACAAATGAAACTGACGCAAAAAGTTCAGGACAGCCATTTTCATGGCAACAAAACTGTTCCTAATTGCTAAAATGTGAGTGTTGTGTAGAATGAAACTTTTGTGAATCTAAACCACTCATGAAATTTGCAAACACCTAACGCATGTGAACGATTTTGGTATTACAGTATTTTAGACTTACCAGCCATAAGCCTGTGATGCCCGACTGAGGATAGTGCTGACTCCAAGGATGGCCATGGCTAGGGCATACAGGTGTTCTGGAGCTATGAGCTTTAGATCAATGACCCACCCGTTGGAGAGCCGAGCGATCAGGCTCCCTATGCCCAGAGCAGAGAGGAGGAACGAGGCCAGCTGCTCATCGATCCCAGAGTATACAGCACTGGCCACAAAGTGAGTCATAATAGCAGTATAGCACAAACCAATAGTAATCTGGCAGGTCTGGAAGAGCGTGAAACCAATGCTCTCCCGAAAGAGGGGCCATCCAGAGGACATGAAGAACTGAATGATCCAGGAGCACTTACTAGTTCTATTGTTCTGTATGGTTGTCTCATCTGTATGTACCTCCATGCTGTTGATATCGCCATTTAACGTATCATCCAATGGAACAGGTTTTGATTTAGGCTCAAGGATGCTTGGAACAGACTTTGAGTCAGTTCCTGATGAGGTAGTATGCACTTCAGCAGCACAATCTTCATGAGTCCTTGCATCGTCAGTAGTAACCTTGTTCTCTATTTGAAGCCTATTTTCATCAGGATCACTCTGGATCTCTTCTGATGCCTCAACCACTGTTTTATCATTCTGAACACATCCTGTAGATTCACTCTCCTCATTTTCATCTGCATGAGAAGACTGATTTTTAATTTCTAAAGTCTTATCAAGCAGTTCCATTTCTGCTGCACCATCTTCAATATCTGCTACAAGCTTCTCATGTCTTGTCTTAGTAGAAAGAACAGGCTTCTTTTTAGGACGTGGTCTTGCTACCAAAGCAGATGGAATCACCTGAGCCTGTATACCGGCCGAGATGAGGAGGGCACCCCTCCAACCATACACGTCAATGCATAGCTGCAGGAGAGGGGGTACAGTCATGATTCCTAAGGCAACTCCAGCACTGATGAAGCCATTGGCGCGAGAATAACCCTTCTTGAAGTGGAAGGCCACCAGCACCTGAGCTGCATTCTTAATGAGCCCCACTCCAAAACCTTGATGTGATGTGAAAAAATAATAGAGACAAAATAAGAGATGCATAAAATTATATAGAGGGCAATTCACAATGGGGGGGGGGGGGAGGGGGCAATCCAGATATTCCAAACTCTTCCCTGGCAGGATCTGAGTTTGCTGCTCTGACTGTGTGGATAGAAGACTGCTCTTGGAACCAGACTTCAGACAAAGTCAATGGCCAGTATTTTAGAAGAAGAAGGTATCTTCTTCTGATAAATACAATTAAGTAAAACTTTTAGTGAATGTGTTGAGGACCACAGTGGTATTATGGTTTTTAGAGCATTTCATGATTGGATCTTTAAAAAAATTATCATGACATACATGTAGATGATGAGATCAAATCAAATCTGATACAAAGCTGAGTAAAACTGAACACTCTTATGCCAATGGCTCAATTCGGAAACATCCTCTTTCTAAGTTTTTTTTTTTTTTGGGGGGGGGGGGTGGGAGTAGAGGGGGCTTGTTGTTGTTGCCAGAGATTTTGTTTAGATTTTTAAGACTTTTTGTGAAACCCAGTGTAAATGTCATTATTTTATGGAACTGCTAGTCAACACTTTTGTACACCTGTGCCAAAAATTCAAAGAAATATTAGTATATTACTATTGTTAAAGGTAAAGACCAGTTTTGGAAATGCCCCCCTCTCAAAAAAAGAAAAGGAAGCTCTTATTACCAATCATGTGAAAGAATATGTTTTGACTAATATGTGATCATATAAATTTTGCCGAGAAACCGCCTACTAATTGATATATTCGGTACATTATTATATCTATTTGGACCTGATAGATATAACGCACGTGTAGCGCATGTGAGGCGTAGTTCCATATACATCTTTCTGTGTACAGTGCTTGTAACTTTACCAAGACTGGGCCAAATTTCTTATCATTTTGATGATTCCAGAACCTTGCAGTACACACCAATACAGTTGCTAGATGATCAACCTTTTCTGATCGATTCCACAACGTTTCTTTCACAATGCAATCGCATGACGTACTGGTCTTTATCTTTAATGCTATTACCTGGGAGAATCCCTGACGTAAAACACAGGACGATCGGTGAATCAGCAAAGACACTGGTTATAGTACCAGTGATAGAACAGGCTACACCAATGAGAAGTGTGTTGTGACATCCCCATCTCTTCATGAATGGACCAGAACAGAATCCTGATGGAGTGAGATATGGTAGAAGATACTTTAAAATGGTTTACGAAAATATGTTATTATATTATATCTGTTTTTACTGTGATTATTAAGACACTTTAAAATGATTTATGATAATAATGTTCATATTATATTTATTCTTGGGAACCTACAAAAACAAGCTATCCTTTCCAGTAGGTTCCTGTTTAATTTCATAATTTTGATCTTACTTTGTCAACTATATTCTTTATTGTGCAAACAATTTTAATATGAAATGAATAAATAAAATCAATCGATCAATCAATCAAAAGATATGAAAGGGGGCAGGGAAGGAAAGGAGGAGGAAGAAGAGTAAGAGGAAATTAGGAAAGAACAGAAGTAAGAAATAAAAAGAAGTGAATGGATATGAAATATGCAGATAATTATCAGAGTCAATTCCAAAGGAGGGCATCATTCAATTGATCAACTATTAATTGCTTGTAGGATAAAAGTCAGTATTCTTAATAATGGTGGAGACATTCATAGTGCTTAATACTGATCTTTCTATGCACTATGCTATATTTTACCAAAAGGTCGTTCAATATTCAGCCCCACAAATGACTTACATTTCATAGAACATAACAAACTTTAACCTCTAATGTGCATTAAGGCGGTTGTTCTTTGCCAGTTAATATCCTGATGATAAGCAGGGCACACTGTTCATAAAGTGTTTTCAGATCGAGACAGATATGTTCCTTTTCACAAAAGAATACTGTAGTTTGGAATTCTCTTTTGGAATTACTCAACACAATAAAAACTGTTCTTTTCCAACTACACTCTTCAACTTTTGTGATCTGCTCACAACCTTCTTGTTCTCGATTATTCTTTCCTTTCCTCTTTTTATCTCACCCAATATTTTATGTATAAAACAACAAAAAACAAAGAAAGTCTCATGCAAGTGTTTAATAAAACTTAATTCTAGAGTATTTTCATCTTTTTTCTTTACTGTTCCCTTAATTCATCTTAACACCTTCTTGAGCGGGTTCTATTGATAAAAGAATGTATCAACTAACAGGCTTTTCATTACAGGTAATTCAAAGTTTTGGTATGGGGTCATGAATTTGGTTCAAATGAACATATTGGAAGCATATGCGATCCTACAATATTCAGTGATCGTTGTCGCGGTTGAAATCGAGTATAAAGTTATGAAATTGTAAATAATAAACTTTTATGCTGTATAGCTCCCTCTCATGGTCAAGATATTAATTAAGCTATAAAACAATGTTTCTTGACTAAAATCGACAGTTTAACTATTCCCGTTTGGAATTATGTATCACAACTACATATTCTGAGATTTTCATTCTGAGCTACCATTGTACGACTGTAGGCGCTATTTGAAATTTATCAAAATTTATCGGGAGCACCGGTAAATTTGTATATTCAAATTTTCTCGAAAGCACAAGTGTTTTACTTTTAGGAGCTAAATTTTCTAGTGCTTGTAATACATCAACATGGGCATCCAAATATATCAAAAATTCCCAAAACTTTGTATTACCTTTAAGGCTAGGTACCACATGATTTATTTCCTGGAAGCCTCATCACCAGCAATGCTGTTCTTCCTGTTCGCTTTGTGAGGGTCTTACAATCATTATTGCCCCAGCCACAACCAGTTACCCATTTACACCTTGGTAGAGTGTGGCAAATGTGGATTAATCCCAGGGGGAAGGGGGGGGGGGTACTTACATATTAGGACATACTGGGGTGTGCTGCTCTAGTGGGTTACTTTTTCGCAACATGGGTCCCACTTTTAACAAAAATGCCATTAATGATGGGTCCATTTTTTTCAAAATTTCCAAAATTTCCGGGTGTTGGCCACGCAAAACCTGAAAAACACCAGAAAATTGTGAAAAATGGGTCTTTCATCAGTAATGGTTAGGGGTTTCGAGGCTTGAGTGGCACACCCCCATCCAAACCAAATCTGCGTATCCCCCCTTCCCCCGGGGATTAATGTATATCCATTTGGACAGTAGTGCCGGCCTGGGATTTGAACCCTTAACCATAATATAGAAAATCAAGTGAATGAACAACTACTACAACACCTTCACAGAGTTTTGCTGTATATTATCATTATTTATGGTATGTACATAATAATAATTATAGGCATTTCCATAGTGCCGTCTATCTAGAAATTCTATTCCGAGGCGCATTAATTATTACCCTGGCTTTAGCCTAGCTGCCATTACAGCGCTCCAGCATTTCAAGGAATTAATTCCTGCCAGGTACCCATTTACCTCACCTGGGTCGAGTGTGGCAAATGAAGATTAATGCCTTGCCAAAGGACATTAGTGCTGTATCGAGGATCGAACCACGACCTTTGAATTTTAGGTCAAGTGCTTAAACCACTCGACTACGACACTTCTACATAAAAACAAGCCATGTGAGAAAGAGAGAGAAAGAGAGAAAGAGAGAGAGAGAGAGAGAGAGAGAGAGAGGGGGGGGGAAGAGATACACAGACAACAGAGAGAAAGAGAAACAGATCTCACTGTAGTTTGCTCACCTGAAAGGATGACAGATCCTGAGAGAACACTCATGATGATACTGATCTCAGCTACAGAGGAGTCAAAGTACCTCCTCCATTCAACCAGAAATACACCAAAGGATCGGTAGGTCGCTCCATACACCAGCATAGATATGTGAGCCCCAAGGAGGATAAACCAGCGCCGTTTACTCTTTGATTTCTTCTTCTCATCCATGTTCCTGCTGTCAGTGAAGATTATCGGAGTTTTATTCTAAGATGAGAAAACAATGGCATGTATTTTTTTATTAATTCCTTGTTTGATAAAATTTGTGTCATGTTCATGGTCAAGACTGGATTTAAGTGGCAGAAATAGTAAGTAGGGGCACAGTGAAGTGTGTAAAATCAAATGGTGAGAAAAGGTAGAATAGTGGGAAAGAGAAACACATGGTTGCATGTTAACCCAATTTAAAATGTGACAATAAAGGGAGAAGAGACAGAGAGAGAGAAAGGGGGGGGGGGAGAAAAGAAGAAATGGAAAGAAAAGGAAATAAGAATTCCCCCCATTCACTAGAACCCTGGTGGGGAGGGGATCTTGGGGACTGCTGCCCTCCTAACTCGTCCAATATTGTCATAGCTCAAGCAATATATTCTTGTGTTCACACGAAAGCAAAGCCATACAATATTATTATTATTATCTACAGTAAATCTCTGACGAACCCCTATTTTGGGGCAATTTTTTTCTTTTTTTCTTCTTTTGCAGACTCCATAGGCAGCAAGCCAGGTCCGTATTAAATAACCGATGTGGGGAAGGACCTTTATTTTACTGTGACTGAGGTGCAGTTGAAGGCGTTGATTTGTGCTTGTGAACTTGTCACAAATAATAGTAACAATGTAGTTTTTAAAACTAAAGATGACAGACAAATTTTCCTCTAAGTCCAAACAGAAGTTTGGAAAGACAGGTAGTGTTGTTCTAGTTTCCGAGTTGTGAGTCACCACACCATGTATGACTGAGCTGGGAGACAGTGCAAGGTGGAGGGGCATAAATCGACACTTAAAAAAAAATTGTACCCGTGTATAAGACGAACACCCGAGTCCCATACTTCTGAACAAAATTTCGGCGGGGAAAAAGTGCTTCATATACACAGAGATTTTACGGTATATAAGGCTGACTAGTGTATTGATTTTGTTACTTTCGATAATCAAGCAATATTGTATCGACAGTTAAAGTTCCCGGATAACAGAGCAATACAAAAACAATATTAATCTGTCATCAGGGGTGTCGCTAGAAGGGGGTGTGGGCTGTGCAACACCCCCCCCCCACCCCTACCCCCACCTATCAGGGTATTGTTGGTAAAATTGTGCTGCCGACAGGAAAAATGAGAAAAGGGGGAGGGAAAGAATGAGAAGGAAAGAAAAAAGAAAAAAAGAAAGAAAGGAAATGAAAAGAAAGGAAAGAGAACTAAAGAGAAGAGAAGAAAAAAAAGAGAAAAAAGAAAGGAGAGGAAAATAAAGGAAAAGAAAAGAAAAGAAGAAAAAAAAAGGAAAAAAGAGAAAATGAAACAAAATGAACAGGGGGATGAAAGAGAGGAAAGAGGAGAGAGAGATATAAAGAGGGGGTTGTTGGGTGGAGTCATCTCGTCGAGGGAGCAAGAAAGATTCACATAGATATGTTGCTGTGACAGGTCAGCTGTACCTGTGTCGGTATCCTCGCAGTCATAAACAGCATACATGTATATTACGGAAGCAGCACACTTTATGAAAGTGCTGTCAACACAAGTCGGATGTCAACATCATATTGTATTGCAGAACGTAAATTCACGCGGTCCATGTGGAATTTAAGCTAAGCTGTATAATAATAATAATAATAATAATAATAATAATAGCCTTATACTAATGGTCCACTCCAAATTTGATTAAACCGAAACGGGAATTCTTTTTGCCCGATTTGATCGTGAGCCCGGCAGCCACTGAGCAGCGCCAGATCGACGTTGCTCTATCCCTTATTGTTGGAAGCCAAACAAGGTAGCAACAACTCTTTTAACGTCTTTTGGTATGATGCGGTCTGGGTTCGAACCCACGACCTCCCGGTTGTGAGGCGGACGCTCTACTGACTGAGCCAGTAGTCTGAGCCAACACTCCGGTATTGCTCTGGTAAGATATTTGCTAATATTTAGTTTTTTTTACCTCTGATTTTGAATAGCAAGGCATCATTAGGAGTTTAGAAAGGCATATTAAACATTAAGGCCACTGTGCAATATTCCGCTGTTGCGGGAAGGGGTGATTTTTTGACGCATTTTAGGGTTTGTTTACCTGCCTCTCCACGCACGTCTATGGGAGAGTTAAGGCTTGGTGATATCAATATCATAAAAACATTATCACCAAGTCCTTTAGGCTAGAGTGGTGCATATGATATTGTAGGGTTGCGGTTCTAACAAATTCCTAGCTCTCTTAAGTACACAAAGGCAGCCCAGCAGACATGTTGTACGATTGATAACTACTGGCTAACTGACCAGGTTTTAATGTAGCAAAGCATTACAGCATTCTATGTAGCATTTCACATACATTCCATGCAAAGTAGAAGAAACAATAAATATTCATTTAGTCCCATACAAGTATAAATCAACATCACAAAGTATTCTTGAATATTCAAACATAAACAAAGGGTATATATTGAATATTCATGGTATATGTAAATTATACTATAAGCTTGACTGCATCAGGTGAACATTGAAACCAATGAGAGAGAGAGAGAGAGATAGACAGATGAAAGGATGGTGGATGAAAAGTGTGAATGTGAATGAGGGATGACCTATTAATATGAAAGGGATGAATCATGGATATGAGGGGGAGTTTTAGAAGTTCAAAATAAATCCCTACAATATGGTGGTGACTTGTTTCTTCTTCTTCTTTGCTGTACATTCAGGTGAAGAAGAATCATGAGAATGCGGATTTTATTTAATAATTTAGGAATACGGTTAATGGTAGTCTAGATATTATGAAATACCTTGAACCTTTTTCTCCTTCTTCTTGATTTCCTCCAGGTTTGGAGAACTGTGGAGTTGTATCCTTCACAGATCGAGTCAATAGTCAGAGACTACATCTATCCATCTAACTCTAACTTCTATAGGTGGTACTGTACTGGACAGGTTACTTTGGTAAACACACGTCAGCGTTCGGACTAGATCTATACCGTGACATCGCAAACTGTCATAAAACGGCCATCACAACTGAGCTGAGGGTCCAGAGTTCAAAAGTCAGATAAATAGGCAGACAATATGATATTATAAAAGGGGTACATAAATGGAGAAGATCACAAGATCACAAGACAGCTTATAACCTCACCCGTCTAGCACTTAAAGCACAGCTTCGCCTCCAAAGTCAATGTCAACCATAGAGATTAGTAGTATATATCTCTATGATGTCAACACGAGATTGCGTAATACCTTGAAAAGAGACGATAATAGGGAGACAATTTACACTGACTTACTTTCGTAGTAGGCTCGACAAGCGGCGATTGTTCTGTAAAGAAATAGTCTAGTACGTGCCTTTTTCTTGATATTTCGTATCTGACCTATTTTTTCATAGTCTGATTCTACTCGAGAGCATGGATGGAGCATGGAGATCTCTTCTTATATCTCCATGGATGGAGAGTACGGAATAAAGCATTTTCGTTTCGTGGGAGTTATCATGCGGTCTGGAGAAATGTCAAACTGAAATTTGTAGTATATACCGTCAAAGGTACTGCCTTTTTTGTGTGTGTCCCAATACGACATTTGAAAATTTGCCCGATCGGTATGGGGGGGGGGGGGGGGGGGGTGGGTAAGGTCTTTTGGGTCACCAATACCACATTTTTAAAAATATATATATATTTTTATTATTAAAAAAAACAAAAAAACAAACAAAGGGGGGGGGGGGGGTTTCATCCAAAACGTACACATTACAAATTTTAAGGGGGGGGGGTTGAACCCCCCCCCCCCCTGCGTACGCGCCTGTCTGACCGTAATTAAATGACCAAAACCCCGAGCTTATGGGGGCTCCACTCCCTGGAACCCACTAAGGCTCATCTGACCGTAATTAAATGCCTAACACCTCGCTTCATGGGGCTGTTGTAATTCCCCAACTATAAGTTGTGAAAATACTCAATGATATTGGATTGCATATGAACATGCTACCATTATATTGTTTAATCTTTTTATTTTATTTTTAAAGCCCATCTGCACTAGATTGTCGAGGAGGGAGAAGACCTTTCTGCATGGTCACTGACAGGTGGTTATCTCATCAAATCAGGTCTCAATTAACATGAGAAAAAGGGGATCATGGGTAGGAGCGTACGCAGGGGGGTGAACCCCCCTCCTTTGGTATTTTTTTTTTTTTTTTTTAATAATTAAAAAAAAAAAAAAAAAAAAAAAAATATATATATATATATATATATACCAATCGCTGACCTAAAAAAGTTAACCTTACCCCCCCCCCCCCAAACGGAGCAAAATGTCAAATTTTCATATTTCGAGTTCGAGAGACCCCCCCCCCCCCCCCCCCCCCCCCCCCCCCCCCCCCCCCCCCCCCCCCCCCCCCCCCCCCCCCTTGAAAAAATCCTGCGTATGCGCCTGATCATGGGGGACCAACGATCACCGCTTAGGCATTGTTTGATATACATAGAGTATAGTAGAGCAGTCCCACTTTAAAGAAAGACACTTTTAAAAGAATATGATTATAGAGCAGATTAACGTCCGTTTTGCTTCAGAGATGATTACAGAGTAGAGAGTCAGAAGGGCAATAACTGTAACAGTAAAATGATGAGTTAAAATCCTTCTAGCACAGACAATACATGAGACGAAGAGCAATCGAGTTTTCTTTTGTGTCTTTATGGCTACTGTCTCAATACAAGGAATCAACCAGATGATATATATTGATAAAAGGGAGCTCAAAAATATCCCTTTCATTAGTTGGGAACAGGATTAAAAATCCATGTTGGTACATAATGAAGAAGATAATAAATTAAATTCATGGCCAAATCATCTGATAATAATAATAATAATAATAATTGTAAATTTATAATGCGCAGTTTCTATATGTATATTCTCAACTGCGCATGACATAATGATAGTAAAAGGAACAATACAAATAAACATTTAAAAGTTAAAATCGATGCTAAGGGGGAACCTGTGTATGCTTTACAATGAAAATGTCTATGTAAAACTTTCCTGAAACAGATAGGTTTTCAGGTTATTTTTAAACACATTGATTGATGATGCATGTCTAATTGTGGCAGGGAGACTATTCCAGAGTTTGGGTGCAGCGCTAACAAAGGCGCGGTCACCTAGAGTAACCTTTGTTTTACAAGGTGGAAGACTCAGGAGCATGGTATCATGGGAACTACGGAGCCTGTAGGACTGGGTGGGTGATTTTAACGTCAGGAGTTCACTGAGATAAATGGGGGCCAAGCCATGGAGTGCCTTATAAGTAAGGAGGAGTATTTTGAATTTGATTCTCTGGCGAACTAGAAGCCAGTGCAGATCATGAAGTAGTGGGGTTACATGAGAGAATTTGGGGGAATTGCAGATGAGTTTGGCACATGCATTTTGTACACGTTGTAATTTACATATCTGAGATTCTGGTAAGCCAAACAGTAGTCCATTACAGTAGTCCAATTTGCTTGTTATAAAGGCATGGACTAATGTAATGATACATGTGCGAGTTAGGTATTTCCGAATGTGACGTAGGTTGTACAGATGATAGAAGGCTGCTTTGCATGTTTTGGATATATGGGTCTCCATGTTCAACTGAGAGTCAAACCAGACACCAAGGTTTTTTGCAACCATAGACTGCTCGACTACAGTATTTCCGACTGTTATACAATTTATATTAAGTTTTGACACTTGCCTAGGTGTTCCAATAATAAGAAATTCAGTTTTGCTGTCGTTGAGTTTCAACTTACAGCTTAACATCCACCTACGAAGATCCCTTAGACAGTGTTCAAGAGCTGAAACACAGGACTGTTCTTGTTCCCTGACTGGGCTACATGAGATGTATAACTGGGTATCATCTGCATAGCAGTGACAAGATATGTGCTGAGAGTATGCTTTGATGATAGCAAAAAGGCGACTCGAATAAAGGGAAAAAAGGAGGGGTCCGAGCCTGGAGCCTTGAGGAATACCCCATCTAACATCGAATTTCTTTGAGGTGGTGTTACCAATTGATATTTGTTGCTCCCTATCGCACAGGTAAGACTGTACCCAAGATAAAACAGAATCTGTAATCCCAAAATCGGACTGTAGTATTTCAGCTAGTATATTATGATCGACAGTGTCGAAGGCGGCACTGAGATCTAAAAGTACAAAAAATGTAACTTTCTGCTGGTCCATTGCCATAAGTAGGTAATTCTTAACTCTTAGTAAAGCGGTTTCTGTACTGTGATACTTTCTATACGCCGATTGTGTTAAAGGGAAAAGGTTGTTACGAAGGAGGTGATCCTGAATTTGAGCAGTGGCTGCCCCTTCAACCAACTTCGACACATATTGGAGATTACTTATTGGCCTGAAGTTGAAGTTCATTCAGAATTGGGTTTCTTTGGAATAGGTCTAACCAAGGCAAGTTTCCAACCTGAATGAAACTTGCCATTATGTAATGACAAATTTATGATTTGTGTAAGCACAGGTAGTAAGGTATCTAAACATTCAACAACCAATCTTGTTGGCATTGGATCGAGGGAACATGATTTCTTACTGAGGTTCATTACAAGTTTCCGAACATCACTTTGGGATAACGGCATGAAATTTGCAAACTTGGGTGGATTGGATGAGGATGAGTATTCCAAGGAATTATCAACACTGATATCCTCTTCATGTAACACTGATTCGATATCACAGTGAATTTTGACTATACCTTTTGTTCAAAAAAGTCACCAAGTCCATTGACAAAATCATGGTTATCAACACTAGGAGGTATGACAGAATCACTTTTTGTCATGTTCAACAAGGACTTTGTTACATCAAAGAGTTTCCTTTGATTTGAGCTATTGTCAGTAATACAGTCAGTATAATACTTAGTACGAGCATTATTCATTACAAACAACATCTTGTTTCGAGCTAACTTAAATGCATTGTGGTCAGAGACAGACTGAGATTTCCTCCATTTCTTTTCTGCCTTCCTTCTCTTCTTCTTTTCCATTCTTATATTATGGTAATCGATCTGATCTCAAAACAATTGTATCATGCAAAGATCCATTAATGTCATTTACTAATCACTACTCAATACTAAGATTATACTTCTTTTACAAATCTAAGTAGATATGCAGGAACAAAATATATTCCTTTTTTGTCATGACTACACACCCCCCAAGAAAGATTACCGAGTCAGAGTCCTTTTCAGGACTCTCTCTCACACATGGTGCACCCGCAAGCCTACTGTATACAAATATATTCTGTTTATAGCACTTTTGGGTATTTTACAAAATCTCTTTGTTCTGTCTCTTTTGTATGACACAAAAGGTAATTTCTAAGTAACTGTTATGGTAAATTAACGTTGGCAAGCAGAATCGGGGGAATTTAAAGTCTGTCAATTTCCCTCAGGCCACAGAAAAATATAGCATACCTCATATATACATATAGTTATTTGGTAGAAAATAAATCCCACATTTCCAATTTTTCATAAATAAAACAGCACTGCGTGAAACTCACTGATTATACCTATTAGAAAACAATCAATAATTGGAATATCTTGATAAATATACATTGACAACAGCAACACAACTGAAGTATTTTTTAAAAAAATGTGAGCACAGATACCATTAAAAAAAGAATCCATTCTCAAATTATTCAATCATTATAGTACTGCAAATTATATCACGATTAATGCACAATTATATTCCATACAATATGCCTTCCTTCCGAATCAATTTCAAACTACTTTTCCGCTAAGGTAATCTTTAAAATAATTATGCAGGAACAACACAGAAAAACAATGTCTATTATATATATATATTTTTTAAAGCCACCAGTACGTAATGTAAACAAATATACAAATATGTTGTTAATTCTGTCATTATAACCTAAAAACAATATGAAAATATGTCCAGGATATTTGCCCTGCACCTATTTAACCCTTAATTGCCGGCATCGTGCACATGTCTACAATCCTTTTCTGTTTACATTCCCCATTACCAGGCGCGTACGCAGGATTTTTTCAAGGGGGGGGGGGGGGGGGGGGGGGGTTAACATTTTTAAATCGGGCCGAAAATTTCGCAACGACTCAGCCAGCCGCTGAATAAGCGGGGGGGGGGGGGGGGGGGGGGGGGGGGGGGGGGGGGTGGTGTAAGAGGTCACTTTTTTTTTTTGGTCTCAAAATTTGTAAATTTGACATTTTGCTCCGTTGGGGGGGGGGGATAAGGTCGCCTTTTTTAGGTCAGCCATGGGAATTTTTTTTAATTTTTTTAAAATTTGTTTTATTATTCAAAAAAAAAAAAAAAAACCCAAAGGGAGGGGTTTTTTTTTGTTTTTTTTAGGGGGGTTTATACACATAAAAATACCAAAGGGGGGTTGAACCCCCCAAACACCCCCCCCCCTGCGTACGCGCCTGCCCATTACTGTCCTTATATGAACATGATGTTAAAGTGGAAAACACCGTGTCCCTTGGATAGGATGTTAAAATAGAGGCCCTATTATGTAGGAGAGTGAGTCGCAAGCTATGCATATTAGTACTACACCTCCACACAGGCACGTACGCAGGGGGGCGGGGGGGTTGGGGGTTGAACCCCCCCCCCCCTTTGGTATTTTTTATGTGCGTATTTTGGAGGAAACCCCCCCCCCCTGGTTTTATTTATTAAATTTGTTTTATTTATTTAATTTTCAAATTTCGAGAGCAAAAAAAAAAAAAAAAAGTGTCCCCTTAACCCCCCCCCCCACCCTCGTTGCGAAATTTTCTGCCCGATTTAATAATGTTAACCCCCCCCCCTGAACATTGGGAGAAGATGCTTGAAGGTCACCGGGTTAAGTTTCCTTTTCCCTTCACAGGCATAAATATAATGTTGTGAAATTAAATATGTCTTTTATGAATGGGCAACATGATTTGAAAGTCAACCACCCGACCTTGATGAGAGGAAAGCTAATATTCAGTTCATATTTCAATTGATTTATTATTCCAGAGAAGCTCTAGCAAAATGAGAATCTACTTTTCAACAACTATGGGTACCTGCCCTGACCTGCAGCAACGTAGCTACAGGGGGTCCAAGATCAGTTGAACTTTTTTAGACCCCCTTTTTTTTTTACCTCGATCGATTACATGTATGTGCCCCCCCCCCCAAACATCAAACTCTGGCTACGTGCCTGCCGACCTGCCCACGTCAACACGTCAGTACAATAACATTTTACATCAAAGGTTATGATGTAGTTGAATCAAATCAGTAATATACAGATGCTTTAGGTTTTTAGGTAAACCATTATGCTCCTGTGAGAGTCTATTTCCATGTTCAATATCTGACCTGACACTCTTAACCAATAATATATGTTTTGTACACGAATCACAAAATTGAGCGATTTTCGGGTTGACATGCAAATACAAAAGGTCACGTTATTGTGTAACTATACGTTCGATTTTCAAAAAATTGTGTTTTAAGAGAGGCGTAAGACTCGAACTAAAAAAGTCATGAAAGGAAAACTTTATATCTGCCGCGGTTCCGAAGTAGTCGCTAAATTACTACAGTTAACATAGGGTTAAAACGATACATGTTTTATGATAGTATAATCTTAATGATATTACCTAATAATTACTTTGATCGGTAGCTTATTTCACATCTTTAATATAATATATTGAAGTTGAATAAATAATTTTACGACGTTATCACTACTCCGTTTATCTTATGTAAATATTTGATTACTTTAAAAACGGAGAATATCAGCCTTGAGTTGCATTTTATGTTATATTTGATAAACCAATTCAATTATTGATCAACCAATAAATCTAGCTATTATGTTCGTGAAAGTACGTGTGTGTGTGCGTGTGTGTGTGTGTGTGTGTGCAAAGGGGGGGGGGGTAGGAGGAGGGAAGGGGAGGGGGCTTCAGTTTCACTACACGAATATGCTGTCCAGTTTACAAACCCACATGGAGAAGAGTGTAAAAGAGAAAGGGCGACAGATAGAAGGGATTGCGGTTAGGGGCGAAAATAACATCGACAACAACAACAATATATATATATATATATATATATATGTAAAGATAAGGCATGAGAGAGAACTTTGTATAAAACATTTAGAGTAAAACAATATAACAGGGGAAAAGGAATGATGGGGCTCGAAGGGCTATTACGTTAAATAAATCGCCAAAGGACCCTCGCTATAAGAATAACCAAATGCATTCTCTCCTTTCGGTTAAATATTTCTTTACATTAAAATATATTGCGCTAAATATGCTGTGCATAATTGTACTCAAGCTGTATGCATACAGTATTGTGCCGTGCTAAAAATAAAGTATCAAAAGCGCTCCTGGGGACAATGGTATTATCAGATTAACAAGTGGATGGGTGACATCAGACCCCTTTCAAACGACCGAACAAAAGCGACTTTATTGAATCGTGTCCTATCAATATCCACCGCGTCATACAGGCTCCATATTCAGTTTACAAACAAACGGAGGCCACTACGGGCCAAGTATACGATTGCTGTCCAACCAGTCCCTGGTCCAACTTAAGAACTTTTCCTTGACTCTTGAAAGTTATGAGCGACAAAACCTTTTACATGTGTGATTACTTTTAAACAGAAACCTGACCGCATCTGTGAAACGCGAGACATCATGGCCGTTTGTGAAAGGGAATAATCCGATTTTACCTTGATGAGTATGTATAAACATCGGAAGCATCGATTTGGTCTATAGTTAACAGTCTCCTCACAGAAGACTTGATCAGAACATTGACTCGTTCCGTTGCATCGATTAATTTGGTCGCCATAAAATTGGACGCCGGACAAAAGTGGTCGCGTATAGTTTTGATTCAAAGAAGAGCAGTACCTGGGGAGTTGCTAAGGGCGATGCACAGCGAGCAGTGCACTCGACCGAGAAACTATTCGCGGCACAACTACATGTACATGTAACTTTTACCCGTCTGCGAAACCGTATGATTTCATCATTTTGTTGCCAAGTATTAATATTGTTTTTTCTTCTCGACGCAGGCCGAACTTGTACGTGACTGAGCTCGAAGTTTGACATTTTATGACCTGCGAATGCCTGGTGTACAATTCTGTATCACTTTGAAACACAGTGTCTAGGAGTCCACAGTGTGCTTCGACACGAGGGGTTGGAAAGTTTGCGTATATCCCCTCATGTTTCTGGAAAGTTTTGTTTAGAATATATATTTTTCACCACACGATCTGTATTCATGTGGAGAAGATGAGTCAACTTTCCATGGAGAGGAAATCAAGGTTTCTTCCTTGTAAACCTGATGGATTTGGAGAGAAAGATATCGATACCATGTAAGTATATATATTCTCTCTTATTATCAATCGAAATTATACAGTCCATTCAAATATGGGCCTACATAACATAGCTGCGAGACATCTACTATCTTCAAAACACCTGTTTAGAGAAGGTTGTATATTATAGTTCGGATTATTTATATATTTATAAGTATATCGCGTTACACTTATTTATGACAAAAACTAAAGTTACACAAATTTTACGCAAAGTATATATTCAGCAACCATTGTTATTTCGTCGATAAACACAGCGATAAGCAGTCAGTATTCGCCATATCATTATCACTATTGACTGCATATCATCGAGTGTCGACTGAATAGAACGATTGGAAGAGTTATATTATATTCAGGTGTTAGATTGTAATACACAAGCCTATTAATTTTATCAAATTGGCGTAGTCAAGGTAATGCAAGGTAATTTCATGTTGTTTTTTTTTTGGTAAACTGAATGTAATTCAGCTCTCTGGCTGCTAATTTCAGTATTTTTAATTAACCATTTAATAACGCCGGCATTCCATTCAATTATGTCAAATGTTCCTGAGATAACTTTATAGGCGTCGTCCTGAATACTGTAAATGGTGGAGCAGACGGGGGAGGGGTGCACGTTTCACTCGAGATTGAGAGCAACTGTCCTAGGAGTTGATCTGTTTCCTTAAGATAATACAAAGTTTTGGTAATATTTCAACAGGATTGGATTATGAAATTTAAAATGTGCATTGCCATTGTGAAGCCTAGTCTAATAGGGTATCATCCTCTAAAATTGAATATGTATTCAAATGTTTATTGAATACTGAATAAATGTTGACCTTTGTGACATTTCATCAAATAAAATGCTCTCAATGACATGTGCTTTTGTATTTATATGGGGCCAATGTTTATTTGAACAACAAACGGGTATTTTGTAGTCATCATATTAAAAAGCGTAAAACATGATACATGTATATTTGCAAGCATATAGTATAAACAAGGGGCCGACATGCCATCAAATTGCAATGTTAAAATTGAACTGTTTCTATAAGCTATGTATCTAGGATCAGCAGGCATCATCTTTTCCATTAGAGTGCTTCTCAGTCTCATAGCCTACATGTATACATATATGTGATATAAAACTCAGTACGGTCCTTTATTACAACATCAAAATAAAAACAAATGAAAGTAATATAGAGGTATCTGGCTGGATTGCTCGCGTATTCGACCTGAATGCGTCGGTTCGATTAATTGCTTTGGCATGTACATGTATCTTTATTTGTCACTCTCGACGGTTATCTTATTACTTTCCATGCCATATGCGGCACAAAACGACCTACACCACTGTCTACATTATGATGAATTTAATTATGTTTTTTAATGTTTCGCTAAATGTCTGTTTGGCGTAATAAAAGCTAATTTTGAGCTCTGATGTGGAAATTGTTCGTCGAGAGAACAGTCATGGCTAAAATTCATTCTGAATTGTTTATCCTGCAGTAGATTGATTGATTGAAGCCAGTAAAATAAAAACAAATTCACCAAAACTTGCTGTAAATCATCTTCAATAAAAACCACAACTCTCATTTGCACATAGTGATCTGGGCTAGGCACATGGTGTCGGGCCTACACGTAATAACCTTGATTTCTGTATCTTTCTTTATTACTCAGCCCTTATACAAAAATCGTTTGGCACATGTCATTAATTCGTAATCTTGAACATTCAGTTCAACTTTTGTTAGATTCTGTGAGAATTTATTTTCTTTTATTACCAGAACTCAAGCTTATCTTTGCAGGTCGTTGTTGGTTATTTCTTATATTTTAGTATATAAAGCCATTTATAATTTATGAATGTAGGCCTACATTGACTGTGGTTTTATCCTATTTTGTTCACAGATAACCGAAAGAGATTAGGTGTATTAAAGCGACAATCATGACAGCCTCATCAGCAAGGGCAGAGTCGGCGTCATCCAGCAGTTCAGCGTCGTCGTCGTCGTCTTCAGAATCGAGCTCGTCAGCAAGCGTTCCTGTCTCCCCGATTAATATTCGTGAAAGAATGGACACAGGACCATCAAGACTCACAGAACAATCAAGCGAAGAGGACGAGAACAATGTAGAATTTGAATGTCCCTCGTTCGTCCGTGATCGCACGATCACGAGAGCACTCCACGAGTTCGAAGTCGAAGACGAGGAAATCCCAGAACCTGATTTCTCATGGGACGTCAGAACGATATCCCACCATCTTGCCAGATACCTTGACGACCTCTGCGGATGGGTACCCGACCCCAAAGTGCAATACAGACGCGTGGCGCCCTCACCGGGAAAGAATGGACAAAGGACCAAGGGTGCGACTAAGAGTGACCTTGATGCGCAAATGCGACGGTTGTCAATGAATTCGCGAGTGGCGAGTCGCATGAAGGCCATGACGATGGATTTCGAGTTTCGACATTACCACAACCCTAAGAAATACATGGAGCAGTATCGTAGGTTCCACACCTGTGGAGGACCTCTGGAAAAGTTGGCTGCTCATGACGCTTCCCACGGGCGCAAGAGAAGTATTTACTACGCAGGAGATGCGTCTGCCGAGGTAGGCTTCAAGGTTGAAAACGTGCAACCGAAGCAGGAAACACGGTTGGCGACGGCTCAGTTACAACCAGTGGCTTCGGGAGATAGACCTGATGGTCAACATCCACAGTCGCGTCAAATACACAACTCTGAATCAAGAAGCGAACAGAGCAGGATAAACGAAACCAGTGTATCTCCAGGAAATACTTTGCCAATAGCGGTGTCATCACAGAATACAGTAGTTAATAATGAGCCGATGGCGGCCTTACCGCGGTATTGCTCACTTACGGAAGCGGCCAACCGGAAACGGCAGGTATATAGCCACTGGATGGGTATTCCTGGTTCTCGCGTCCCAGGACCTTCTTCTGCTCCAAGATCAACACGAGAGAGCGACCAGGCCATGTCGTCGAACCTACCAACCAAATTATCATCGACGGACGATGCAATGTCGCTTCCGCTCAAACCGCAGAGCTGCACCCCGACCGGAACGGGATCAACCGCTGCTCCACCGAACAACGGCCTCAGGCAAACGTTTCACAATCCACTGATGACCAGTCCAACCGCTTCGTCGTCGGGGAATGCCGGTGATGCAACCCATAATACATTGCAGTTTGGCAGTCCGCCAAATGGACCGCATGCTCTCTGGAAAGCAACTCAATTTCCTCCCACAACTGACAATCATACTCTACCCGTCGCCTTTGGGTAAGCATCTTCATTCTCGTGTTTAGTAAAGAAAAAACCCAAGACAATTATTTTCATCACTAACATCATTATAATCACTAATATCATCATTTAATCGATAACGTGATGGCAACAACTTCCGAGAAATCAACTCATTTGCAATTATCTCACTATATTGTATATCCCCAAATTCATGTTCGGATTACACAATATGTCGCTGTAATTCAATAGGGGATGGACATTGCTTTTTAAATTGCCTGAGGTTGATGTTTCAGAAGTCTATGCGATCTTGTTCAAACCACAATCATGCAACATTTATCAAAGCATTTATAAGAAACGCTATATTATTATCATAATTATTACCATTAACATCATCATAAACATTAAACATTAAACATTAAACATTAAACATACAGTAGTTTTGGAAATATCAAAACGGTTAGATTGTATATCGATGGCACTATCCATCATAGTTTAGGCCTATTGTGATTAAAAATAAGGTTCATGGCACATATATCTCATGCACAACCGCTTTTAAAATAATGTTTAAAACTTTGATACTACTTATCATCAAACACTTTAATCCGTGATTTTAATCAATCCAGTTCCATAAGATCACAGAGATATCAATAATCTTTTTAACACCTACATGTACAATTATAATTGACATGTTTCAAGTGACTAACTTGTATCTGAAGTTGAACACAAATATTATACAATAATGATTTAATCATAACATTATGTCGCCAATAACGTTTTTTTTCTTTCATTTGGAATGGTTTAATTTTGTTGTTGTTGAGTAATTTGCATTCAAAGAAATTTGCCGACGTTTCTTTGATAGTTTGTTTCATTCATGAATTTTAAGAAGGACAGTCCCATAATTGATTATATCTATTTAAACTGAAGTAATCGATTGGCCCTTTGCCGAACTTCCTACATTACAGAGAAACACTACTCGTCCCAATTGTTATCATGTTCATGAAAAGAAATAGCGGATCAATGAAGTGAGAGCAAGTGATGGGTGGAGGGAGAGAGAGAGTGAAGAAGAAGAAAAAAAAAAGAAGAAGAAGAAGAAGAAGAAGAAGAAGAAGAAGAAGAGGGATGATGGGTACGAGGAATGGGGAAGAAATGGGATAAGGAATTTTTTCACAGAAACGAAACCAAGAAATAGCATTTAAAAAACTTTCGCATAATGTTTTTCTAAACTTGCTGAGCGTGCATTTGTCAATCTTGAGAAAACAGGATATCGATTTAAGCAGTATAATATTGATTACATTGTAAACATGTATCTTACTGTATTTCCAAAACCTAAAGTTACCTTCAGTTATACTTGTGGCCCGGAAAGAGCTAGAACGTCTGTGAATGATTCCAAAATTACTTTCCCCGATGACACTCAATTTTATCTTTGGTCTGGGGATATTTTTTTTAATGTAAAGGATACGTGTGCTCATGTAAGAGAGAGAGAGAGAGAGAGAGAGAGATAGAGTGGTTCGGGCAGAGAGGAATATAGTAAAAGCAAATGAATATTCCAATGCACATTAAATTCACCGCAGGTAAACGAGTCGGGGCATTATCATCGAATATTGCATTTCTGTTTTTCTCACCTGTTTTGAAGAAAGGTTAGAATTATACATATACATTATATACTGCCGAATAAAAAGTGTACATGTATAATGAATTAACAATGGCACTACATTATCTAGTTACATGCACTCAAGGACTCAAGCAGTGCGAACAGACCGTCGGGTAATATTCATCCGCCTCTAAAAGACACTCCTTTCGATCGCCATCCACCCGGTGATTGGCTACACATCCCCTGACGTCATTGATCACGTGTGTTCCACTTTTCCACGACTCCATGTTTTTAAAATTCATCACCACACACACAAACACACACACACACCCGGTATCACAACTTTTCTACCAGTTTATATTTTATTTATGAATGACATGTGATTTTGAGCGTTTTCTCGAAATGAAACAGGATAATCTAATCGCTGAAAAATAAATTGTTTCTGGAATAAGAATATCAACTTGAGGGCGATTTGCACGAAACATGATGGAATATTCATATTGATTGATTAAAAGGAGTTTAGAGGGGAATACGAGACAAATTTGCCGTTGGGTGGATTATTCTTTGTTTATAATTGTTTTAACAATTATTTTCTTCTCATAACAATTGTCGTTTTGGCTCACCTACTTTCAGGCTGGCGGTCTTTCCATACGGCTGTACTATATAAATTAACCTATTCGTAACGATGATAAAATAATATGGCATCACATTTAAATAATTTGTCCAATATTCATAATGTCACATTGAGATTCAGATTACTCAATTATGTATGTCATAAGTCTCCTTATCCAAATCGTCTTTCTTTGATAAAAAGGACCAACAATTATATTTTTTTCATAAGTGATGATTAATTATTTAGCATATTCGTTCTCATTTTCCCCACTTTTTCACATAAATCGAACGATTCAGTCACGTGACACGTTTAAGCAAAAACACTTTGCTGAGGGCCATTGATGAAGAACTAAGCGAATACGAAGATCGGTAGGAAAGGAAATTTGTAAAATTAATAAAAACTTAGATCTCTAGTGTCATTTTTACTCTCTATCTAACCAGGTATTTATTGGATGTGACTTTCTTGTCTCTTATTTGCTGTAGTTTTAGAATGAAAGCCCACTTTCTTCTGGTAATCTGGACAGCGTTTCAAAAGACGGTCATAAGAAGATGTTGGCCCCGGATGTTGGCCTTTAACCCATCCTACTTATGGCGGTTTCGTGAAACGACGCCTTGCTTTATTTTGAACTTTCTGACTATTTTTCTTCGACCTCTTGTTGTTGAATGGATGTTGTGAAACACCTATCTTGACACAAATTCTTTGTCAGAGTGTTACAGTTATATGTTTTTAGCGGAAATTGTCATAAATATCTCTCTCTTGTCAAACTATACTATCGTGTTTGTGTGTGCATTTCTAAGGGGAAATAGACCGGCCTTGTTGACTATTCGGTATCGGATTCATTGTGACATAATTTTGTTTTACAATAGTCTTTCTGCTGTCACCTAACTCTATTTCCGTCTTCCTTTGTTCTTTTGTTTTAATTTTGATGAAAAAGTATTTCAGATTGATACATACTTTCCCTCACATACAAATAACATATATGAAATAATCGCATTTAATTAGGATAATGTCCCCTGTACTAATGTTTTAATTTTGAATTGTGAAGTAGCCACGGGATTTCATTAATTTTCAAAAAAATATCTGACTCATATTGCCTGTGAATATAGATAACAAAATCAAATAGGTCAAAACAATTATGACCTTCTGTTTAAAACTTATATGTTCTGTAATGTCGTGATTCAGTGCAGTACGTTTCAGAACCCGTTGTTTATACATTTATCAGATTAAAATTGGACTGTTCATGTTATCTCTTACATGTCGTACTATCTAAAACAGTTTGATTCCTAATTTGTATTCCATTTAACAATAACAATGGTTTAATTTTGTTTTTGTGTCTAACATTACTTTAACATGCCCTTCGTTTCGTCTCAGCCATACAGGTAAGTGTACATGAATGCAACTCTCGTAAAACTACTAACTCTTGAGACTCGTTAAACTAAATTGAACTTCAAACTTCAAACCATTGAAAAAGTAAAGTGCTTTTTCGAATAACGTAAAAGGCTTCACGATACGTAATTATAATATATTGTCGAAACATGTTTCTACTTGATAATAATTATCGGCGTCAGTTTTATGTGGACGTTCAATGGTAATTTTTGTGTACAGTAAAAATGTATCGTTATGTTACTGAACTGTAGTGGAATAACACTTAGACACTCTGACTTCTTGTTTTGGTTATTATTTTTTAGTGCGTGGGAGTTCATATTTCTCTCGCTTGAAGTGCTAATCAAAATGTTCAGTATGAGTTTAGCAATGTGAGTCAAATCGGCAATTTGACAACTCAAAGGTATCACCTTATCCTCTGTAGTTTCATCTTGTTATTGCATTTATCCAATAAATTCCAATAAGTAAAGGATTTACGGGATAAAAATGAAATATGATTAGATGGATAATATTTATTACAAAAATAATTTCTGGGAGGAGGGGAGAGATCTTCATAGGGAAAGAGAGAATGCGAGAGGGTGCTCCGAGAATCGCTCCCGCGACAATTAATGCTCCGTGTTTCTTTCGTCAAAAGTAAAGGGTGAGGATTGCAATGGAGTTTCAGTTTTGGTTAAGTGCAAGGGTTAGGGGTAATTTAAGTGCTGGATGCAGGGTGGAAGTCAGGAATTATGTTAGTGTATAGGAAATTGTTACGGAGCAATAATTGTCGCAGAGGCAAAAGTCGTACAGCCAATAAGGAAAAGGGGTTACATGAACATTTACAATATAAGGGCGGGTGTCGTTGTCTTTCTTTCAAACAGTATTATTTTCATTTTTGTTGTTGGTCATCTTGCAGGGACATGGCAGGAAACTTTTCCACTGGGGTCACACTTGACGACAGTTGCTACGGTTATCAGAGAAATGGCATGACGTCATCAGAAGGGTCGGCATTCCGAGACTTTTACTCACATTTGCTGCAAGCCGCCCATTATCTGAGACTTGCCGGCAGACAGGTAAGTTGATTTATGGCAATTACCTGACAATCTTGAATATGTTGGACAGCTCTCAGCCTTGTCTCGTTTTGGCAAAAAAATGATTAGATACTCGGTCATACCTTCTTTTTTCCAAGGTTTAAATTGATTATCAAAGGTGCACGGTTGATTTTGTTAGTACGCCAAATTCTAAAGAAAGAAAAGAGATGAAAGAAAAAAGGAAAGAAAGAAAGATGGAAGGAGAGAAAAGGGATTGCTGATCTCATGGTATTTCCTTAAGGACGGTATAACAGTCACTTTAAAGTATATAGCCATTGGAAACGGCAATCAATTGAGTCCTAATGGGGTCGCAAGAAGGCCTAAACTGAATATATTCGTTCCAATCATGATTTCAGATGCACTGCAATCAATTAATTTCATTTCTTTCTTTTTCTTTCAAAGAAATCGTTTGACAACGCAAACAAACACCAGATGGGTCCCAAGCTTCATAGCGGGCCAGTGCTCTACAAACCGCCGAAGACAATCACTGTGACGTCACCTACGAACGAAACCCTCGCTCCTGGTTTCGCAGACAAAGCGGGTCTACCCTCTAACGTTGCCATCGCCAATGGACTCGGTGTCCGCGGTCAACGACTCAACTCGGCTACGAACCAGCAGCGTTCGTCGCACTCCGCAAACGCTTCGGCTGGAACGCGCCATTTCGTCAACGCACCGGCGTTTAAGAGTAAGCAGGCTCGCTTCAACTCGTCCCCTGCAAAGATGTCCAACAAAGACTCGGATGCCGAAGCTGCCTTTTCAAGGAAGCGGTTCATTTCTCTTGAGCCGCCTACTTCTTCAACGTTCAGAGAGAGCGCCACGAGAACGGGGCAACGGGAGACGGGGAATATGTTCCATATCTCTATTCCTCACAAACCATGCAAAGTCGAGGCTTCACAAGTCAACAAGGCCGCAGTGTGCCAAGCGGTAAGACATATTAATCTCTCTTTTATTTCTTATACATGTAAGTACAATGTTAAAAACAGGAAAAGAAACGGGTGCCATTTGAATTAAATGTTTCGAACTTCGAGATGCGACCTAGACAATAAAGATAATCAAACATAATTGAGACATAGTTTGGACAACAATAAGATGATATCCTGTGAGTTTCTTGTGATGAAAAGGCAAGATAAACATATACTGGATCTCATAAAGTCAGAGAAAATCTTCCCCCTCTCATTTTACGACTTTCTTTGTTTTACCCTTTGCATTAACTTTTTGTTTAGCACATGTTTTGTATCACTAAAAGCCTATGTTATTTCGAATTTACTTCAAAGCTTTTATAATTTTATCATTTTGTTATTCTTTGAAAGTTTCCGTAAAGCATAAGACTACAGCCTAATGAAACCAAACCTACAATAAAAGTACTTTTGGTAATGGAAAATAAATTGAATTGAATGTACAATGTTTATTATAATATCCATGATTGTTGCATCATTATAATCATTGGTATTCTTTTTCCTTCATTTCTTTCCATTTCTTTGCAGGTATGCTTTAAATCTGCGAGTCAGGAGGCGCTCGCACTAGCCAATGGTAATGCGCCCAAGAAATAATAATTATGTAGCCACACTAGAAGTGCCGCCACCTAGTGAAGTTTCAAAGCCTTATTTATGTATGAAATAAAATGCTTATCTTTAAGAGGGCAGGTTTATTACAAATACTTCCTACAGCCTCAGTAATTAGAAGAAAACAAATCTTTTGTTGTTGTTGTTATTTTGTAAGACACATCAGGGATGGCAGGGCCCCTTGACTTCATAGAGCACCCAAGTAATACCTTTTTCAGTACTAATAAAATACTGTCCATCGATTCCAAGAGATCATTTTCCCCTTGTGAAGTTGCAAATATAAAAGTACTACAAAGATCTTTCTGAACGTAAATGAGCCAATTCTTAACAGTTTGTTACTAAGTACTATACAAATATTGACTGACAGGGGGTGTAATATAACATTCTTTAGACCGCTGTAGGCAGTTATATTTTCCAGGTGCTTATATTTTCCCTAGGGAAAATATAACTCCCTTCAGGACCGAAGAATGTTATATACCCCCTGCCAGTCAATATATGTTATATTAAATAGCCTTGGTTTGAACATTTATTGAGGGGGGGGGGGCGGGTTTTTTGCCCGAATTTTTGTTTCCATTTTTTTTTTCGACCAAAAAAAATTTAATGAGAAAAGTGAGGAAGAAAAAAAATTGGAGAACAAAATTCAAGGACATAACAAAAAATTCGAGAAAAAAATTCATACAGTCCTCGAGAGGGCGACATACATTGATTAAAAATATATCCATTTCACCAGCTGGTCAATATATCCATCGCAATCGATATCACGTGACAAGCTCTGAACCAATCACATCTCGGTATCTGTCTAAGCTATCTAATATAACTACATATTATCTTTTATCCTCCCCCTCTCTTCTTTTTTGTTTTGCCATAGTGTTAAATGATTGCTTTGCATAAAAATATGGAAAAAATGCTAAAAATAAAGACACTGCTAGAAAAGTATTGTTCTGTATCAAATGTTGAGTTTTGATGTTTGCAGATATTAAAAGTATTTTATGAGAAAGGAAGAAATAAAATTACGAAAAAATCTGACAAAAACTTCATAGTACAATCCTTGTTATTTGACGCTTTTATGCACAGAATACAATTGTACTCCTTCCTGGAAATATAGTGCCGAAAATTAGCCTTTGGACTAACATTTTATCATTTCTGTAGTTGCAATTTTCTCAAATTTCAGCATAATTTGGGGGTGTGAAAAAGCCCGGTAAAATGTGTATGGATAATGACCAAACAAAAATAATTAAGCTTGCTAATGTCTCAACCATTCTCCACACTTCATTATTGCTCTTGCCAAATATTCATAGAATTGTACTATTATGAGTGAAAAAATATTATTTATACACTGTGTTGAAAAAAAATACAAAAATAAAGATGGTACTTACTGCAAAATTATTTACATGCTTCTATATATTTTTATTTATTTGTTTCATACGTCACCATAGTCAATCTTCAAACAAAAGTTGAACCTGAGTAAAATGACTATCAACTGAATCAAACAAAATGGTCACATGCTGTTAAGAGTAAATTAATGCATCTGATCTGTTACATGTATTTTAAAGCCAGTTTGTAATGTTATGAAAAATTAACCAAAGAAATATGGAATTTCGTCAACTTTTGTATCAATATGTTTTTAGCAAAGTTTCTGTTGCCTTCTTACAGCGTGAAGGAAAATGAAAACACCCTGTAGCATAATTATGAAGATTATAATTCAAATCTTCTGAATAACTTTCTAAAAGATTTAACAAATTGCCTACTGGAACCAAATTATGGTTCCTGTATTAAAGCCTATGGGAATGAGACATTTCAGAAGTCAATCACAGTAAAGAATCGATACTACCTTTTAGCAACCTTACAAAACAATAATTCTGGACTCTACATAATATGAAGGAATAAATTCCCAGGATTTCATGAAAAAAGCTGACTAGGGTTGAGCCAATGACTATGGAATAGAACTAGAAATAAACTTGATTACCATAGTTGTGATGTATCCATGGTAATGCTGACAGAAGGATACAAATAATACAGATCTTCATTGACTGTTTCATGAAAGCTCCATCCTTCATTCAAAGTTCTTTTATTATAAAGTTTTAGATGCAAACTGCATCCAGAAACATGCAACAAAATCACAATTTCCTTCAACTCTCTCCCAAACTAGACATGGATACATAGTTGTGGGAATGCAAAATGGGAGAGAAATGAATCATAATATAAGTAATAATAATATGCATTTCTTATATTATATCATTATAATATAATTGTTTTGTGTGCTTCCAATGTACCCTTGCCTTATCAGTCACAATGACAAATTTAAACAAAGAAAAAAGGACGAAAGAAAGAAAGAAAGGAGTTCATTTAGTTACAAGCTGTATATAGCCCTTTATTTGAATTCTTTAGAATTCAAGAAGACTTTCATTCATTACTATTCATAATCAAACCAAATAATTTTTCATATTAACCAATTTCATGGCTGGATTCACAATTCTGATCCCTTGATCATTCTAATCATTTCAAATTGCCTCTGCAACAGTCTCAATTCATGACTGGTTGCGTTGCCACACAGTTTAAATTTGATTGTTACTCAAATCAGCCAAACCAGTAATGATCATCGCATAAATCAATACCATTGCAGAACAAAAGACACGTCTTGGACAAGGTCACGACTGCCACCGGTGAATAGAAACATGTGTGCAATCAAAATACACACACAGGTGTAGCCAACAATAGCTATAAACCTCAATTATATGCCAGTATGTAAAGAATATTGATTTTATGTTTGTTTATTTTACTTGAGCAAAGATAGATAGTATAAACATACTGTTGTATGTATCCAGGGGCCACAGACTCTATGTGCTATTTTAGAAACCTCAGGCCCTATTCTGAAAATGACACTATCTGCCACGTTAGAGAAATGATGTTATATCGTCCACTACTAACAGGGAGGCTATTACGTGTACTACCATTGAGAATACATAGCTGTTCCAGCTTTCTTGCAGATAGCCGACTCATTGTCATAACAAACTGAAATTGAATGGAATAAACACTTAACATTGGTGCTTTTGTAGATATTTAACTGTACGCTTATGCGTCCAACACTGTGAAAATATTACCAATGAATTCTCCTCATTTTGATTTGTTAAAACAATTAACATTGCTTTACTAATGCAACACAAAAATAACATAGTTTTTAGAATACAACATGTAAATTTAGGTGGTTTAAGATTAAAAAAGAAAGAAAGCCAGAACCATGACAAAACCAAAATAAGTTATTGATTTGGGGTTTTCTATGTTCAAGTTAAAACATTTGTCATATGAAGCACAAATTTGTTTGGGTTTGTAACAGACTATAGGATAGGTTTATAAGGAGAAGCATAAATAGAGTGAAAATACATCATATTTTCAATGAAGAGAGTGAAAACATTGCACCATGAAAAACTTTCATGAACGTTACATAATTAAAGACCATTTAAAGACAAATTAGGAATTGAGTAAATTATCAAATTTTGTTACCATGATCACTTAACTGACTAATGTTTTAATACCCCAATCAGTATTCTTTCCTGAAGAAGGACATATCGAATATATCTTGTTCCCCATTATTGAAACATTAAATTTGAAGAAGTCAAATTCAAGTTTTCTGAAATTTAAGGTGATGAAGTATCCCAAGTCCTGTTCTTGGAAGCAATTTTCTACTGTTGGACCAGCATGCAACATTCATGCTGTTGATGGTCGACATAACAGTCAGTCAGAGTCCATGTCAAGTTTTGATCATTTCTTGTCAACAGTCTCTCCAAGTTCTTGTAGGAGTTCATGTTTGTAGTCATCAAAGCCACCATCGATCTCGTTGATGTTCTGGTCCTCGATGACCCACAGCTGGCAATCCGTCTCAGTGATCAGTCTGGCGTCGTGACTCACAATGATTACTCCTGGAAGAGGGGATAAGAGAATGTGATTTGTTAGGAGGCCATTCAGTGACACTAAAAGCGTCCTCCAGTGCAGATTATCCTTTGTGCTAATACCAAGCACAGGGACTTCACACAACTCATATGGGCAAATTCTCCCCGGCAAGGGTAATAAATCTCTCGATGCACACTTTCCAATTGCATAAGTGTATTGGTGCATACTAAACAACCCCCTGTGCAACCAAAAGGCTAGATTACACTTAGTTTAGACCATAGGTTAACAAATTCTTGCTGAGAGGCCATCTATACAACTATGATGAAAGTCCATTGCAAGGATCATTCTTATCATTTAATTGTAAAATGGGACATCAAATTTCACATTTCATTGTAGCTCTATCTTTTTGAAAGAGGATACCACTACACTTACACAAAACACATCCATTGAGAGCCAGACGCTCTACACTTACACAAAACACATCCGTTGAGAGCCAGACACACTACACTTACACAAAACACATCCGTTGAGAGCCAGACGCACTACACTTACACAAAACACATCCGTTGAGAGCAAGACGCACTACACTTACACAAAACACATCCGTTGAGAGCCAGACGCACTACACTTACACAAAACACATCCGTTGAGAGCCAGACACACTACACTTACACAAAACACATCCGTTGAGCGCCAGACACACTACACTTACACAAAACACATCCGTTGAGAGCCAGACGCACTACACTTACACAAAACACATCCGTTGAGAGCCAGACGCACTACACTTACACAAAACACATCCGTTGAGAGCAAGACGCACTACACTTACACAAAACACATCCGTTGAGAGCCAGACGCACTACACTTACACAAAACACATCCGTTGAGAGCCAGACGCACTACACTTACACAAAACACATCCGTTGAGAGCCAGACGCACTACACTTACACAAAACACATCCGTTGAGAGCCAGACGCACTACACTTACACAAAACACATCCGTTGAGAGCAAGACGCACTACACTTACACAAAACACATCCGTTGAGAGCCAGACGCACTACACTTACACAAAACACATCCGTTGAGAGCCAGACGCACTACACTTACACAAAACACATCCGTTGAGAGCAAGACGCACTACACTTACACAAAACACATCCGTTGAGAGCCAGACGCACTACACTTACACAAAACACATCCGTTGAGAGCCAGACGCACTACACTTACACAAAACACATCCCTTGAGAGCCAGATGGGCAGTAACTCATATTATTTTGCATAGATAAAAAGCCATGTCTGGCTCTCAAAAAAATAACATAACACAAAGCTCAAATCATTGGGTGGGAATTGTCGTCACCTGCTCACATGCAATCAATAGTGACCACCTGTATGAAAAGATGCAAGACGCACAATAATCAGTACGAGAATACACCAATCGGTGGCCAGTAGTGACCACCTGTATGAAAAGACGCAAGACGCACAATCATCAGTACGAGAATACACCAATCGGTGGCCAGTAGTGACCACCTGTATGAAAAGATGCAAGACGCACAATAATCAGTACGAGAATACACCAATCGGTGGCCAGTAGTGACCACCTGTATGAAAAGATGCAAGACGCACAATAATCAGTACGAGAATACACCAAACGGTGGCTAGTACTTATACCAAAGAAGAAGAAGAAAAAAATAAAGATTAAAAAAAAAAAAAACTAACCTCCAGTATATTTGTTGATAGCATCAGCCAAGGCATCGATAGACTCAATATCCAAGTTGTTAGTAGGTTCGTCCTATAGAAGACAAGCATATAGGAAGGACTTCCAAGATAATATACTACATTCACACCACTTAAAGGAAAATGTGCACCCTGACGTCAAGATGACTTTAAAAAAACCAGAAAAATTAATGAAACTGATGACTAAAGGTGTTTCAGGAAAGACCTATAAAGACTAAGAGCTTTATGGAATTTTAAAGTAAATGTAGTAATCGATCAAACACAAATTGGCAAATCATAAATGTACACTGTACCCTTCGAGCCTCTCTCCCATTGGCTTTGTAATAATATTTTCATGAATTTTCACTTTTTCTTGGTTGTTAATAAATTACTAGACCTATTTTATAAAGAGATTGTGTAAAACATGAGTGCTTTAATGAATTTAGGTTACGGGAATAAATAAACAATTTCTTTAGCTGGCACTGCCCTGTAACATCATCAATATCCCTGTTCTCTTCCTCATCCTCATCATCCTCAACATCATCATCATACTTACCAAGATAATGATATCTGGTTGGCTCTGGCACAGGTCAGCAAAGGCTACCCTTGACTTCTGACCACCGGACAGGTCTTTGGTCTTGATGGTGTGGGCATGACTGATCAGTCCAAATCGGCCCAAGAGCTTACGGCTATCCTGGTACTGCAGGTTGTATTTTGTCTGCAATGCATAAAAACATGTATTTAATCATTAAAGCCCCACTGCACTACTTATAGCTACTTGCGCCCTCAATATAGCAAACAATCCCTAATCAATGACCGTTGGTCCTCCATGGTCCCCCTTTTATGAAGTTAATTGAGAGCTGATTTGATGAGATAACCACCTGTCAGTGATCTCGTTGGGTGGTCTAATCCCTCCTGACCAAAGCATTGCAGATAGGCTTTAAGGACTAGTTTGAACACTACAGTGATCTGTTGGTGATACACAGTGAATCAATAGGTATTCAGTGCAACCAGATTGTTACACTTTGTAACAAACTTGATATAACAGGCAAATTCTGCTAGTATAACTTCTTGGTATTTAGAAACAGAATTTTAGCACTGATATAAAAAGATTTCTTTATTACTGGCTAATTTTCTTTGTCTAAAGGTGTTTTGTGTAATGAAGTTCCACTTTAACTTAAAAATTAAAATGCTACTACCAAACTTTTGAAACTGCATACTATTGGAAAGTCCACTCATAAGGCAATAGGGAGCAAGATTATGTGGGTGATGGCAGAATCAATCAATACACTATATGTAATTCTGGAGTTATTGCTACTGCAGTGAATATTGAATTCTTAGTATTGAATACATGAAAAGGATTCTAGCATTGTACCCCACATATAAAGAAGAAAAAAACACAAATGGTGATAGGACCTCATTAAGGGTGAACTTCATAGGAATCTTGACTCAAAACCTACCTGTAGGTACTCTACAGGACTGACATCCATAGTAAGCTGGTCTGCAGAGTGTTGGCTGTACGATCCAATACGTAACCTGTGATTCTTACGGACCTCTCCTTTCAGCTGTAAATGGTCAAAGATCAATTGTCACATATTACAGTCTCCTCAGAGATAGGATAGTGAAAATAGCTTGATTAACAAAGCTTTAGTGCCTGATTTTTTTCATGTTTTATATATACTGTACCGTCAAAGTTGTCTATAGCGACCGCCCAAGGGAAACACAAAAAGTGATCTTTGTAGACAGGTAGTCTTTATAGACAGGTTCCTTTAGTGCATGTTTCCATGAAAATTCATCTTCAAGGGAAAAAAAAAAAATTTGGTCTTTGTAGACCGGTTGTCACTGAAGCAGGTTTGACTGTATGCATAATAAAGTAAAACATTTAAATTGACAAATTCAAAGCTAAATGGAATTACTATAATTGGTATGGGAAGGCAGGAGCTCTCATAGATACAGGAAATAGAATGGGGGAGATTTGTCAAGTCAGGGCAAGTGCAGTTGACCTTATGATAGAAGTAGAGCTGGCAATCAAACAAAAGGTCACTGAATAGTTTTCAGATACTGCATGATTAATGCGACTTATTTTAAACCAAATTTGCTTCAGCTCCTTCAATATCTAAACCATCAAATCTAGACCATGGACTTGTAGCTAGATTACATCAGACATAGTTTTGAGTTATAACCACACTGAAGTACACACTTACAGGTTCAATTTCACCCTTGAGTAGATTCAGGAATGTACTTTTTCCAACTCCATTCGGTCCAACTATTGCAACTGTAAAGGTAAAAACGATAAGAGACCTGATGCAACATCTTTATTTCCAAACTTTGAATCAATTAAACCCATGCAAATATTTCTATGAATAGGTTCATCCTAATACTGTAATACACGAGCAGGGTTTTCATGTTTGTGAAAGTAAAAGATTTATTCTACAATCTAAATCCACACCTGCAATAGCATTTAATCGCCAACCAGTTTTTGAGCTCTGAAATGATCTGCTGTTCATCCTATCGCAGTAATAAATACAAATAGACTGTGGATACTGTGAAAATTAATGTTTTTATGGGACCAATCTTGACTAGCTTTCGCTATTTGTTGGCTCCATTTACCAAATGTACAATTATTGTCATGGTGAAATACAATGTAACTTGAATTTTTGGTAATAAATGAATGAACATTTATAAAAACTGATGTCGTGGCCACTACATAAAACAATAACAAGGCTTGATTAACCCTCATCGGCAATGATAAAGAATATGCATACATATGTACCAATAATGATAACGATAACAGCGGCCACATAGAAAGAGTGCAAGAACTGGCTCACAGATATCATCGTTGAGGGCTATCCTAACAGAATCAGTGGCCAAGTGATCCCTACAATGTGATAAAATCATTGTGGGATGCTTATTAACTGATATCATTGAGGTCCAAACTGCAAAAGCGATTTCCATTTCGTTTATGATATAAACAACAAAAGAGCGATTCGGGATCGATTTATCGTTATCAATATCAGTGAGGTCAGAGAGCACCTTAAGTAGGATAGGGATAAATTAACAATTACAGAGCTGACAAACTTACCTCTTGATGCCAAGTCCACACCAAAGTCACAGTCAACAAATAACTTGGGCTGGTTAGGATAACCAAAGGTAACACCTAGATAGAAGATGAGAAAAATTGTAACCATTAACCCATACTCCATAGCTGTACAGTGTCTCCTTTTAGTGACATGTTTGCATTATCTTTTGATCCAGAATGCTAAGAATTACACATTGTACATGAACAGAAAAGGCAAAAAAATTACAGAAATCTTTTGGTCGATTTCAAATGCAGTATGTCGTGCCATTTTTTAATAAGAGCGATTTTATAGTAACTAATCATTAATGTCTCTTAATTGGCAACACAGTGTAAGAAATATAAACACTACTTTTGTTACAAATTGGCAATTTTTCAATCAATTTTCACTATTTTCTTTCACATTTGTACATTAAAGAGAAGGTTGAGTTCTGGGAAGAGGTGAAAAATAATTTATGAGCATTATCATTCTTATCATGCAAGTGTGGAAGAACATCAGATAAGACATGTTCCCTGAAAAGCATGCCTCTTCAAATGCCTTCATATTCTAAATATGTCATGTAACATCGTAAAACTCCAGGGTAGGATTTTTATGCCACGTGTTTGTGTAGTCCCATCTACATCTTTCTGTGTACAGTGTTTGTAACTTTACCAAACCTTGGCCAAATTTCTTATCATTTTGATGATTCCAGAACCTTGCAATACACACAAATTCTTATATGCTAGATGATCAACCTTTTCTGGTCGATTTCACACTGTTTCTTTCACAATGCAATCGCATGACCAGAACTCAACTTCATCTTTAAATAAACATTTTTCTGTGCTTTGAGGCTTTGGAAACTCACCATATATTCCTAGGATGGGCGGACTCAGGCTAGGAGGGTTCGGGAGGGTGAATTTCACAACGTATTCTTTAGGTCTCTTGAGAAGCTCCTGCGGCCCTACATCCTCGTCCGTAGGATCTCCTTTCTTCTTACCCTTGTCGTTCCTCCTCTTTTGCTGGCCACGCGTCTCTTTCTCCTGCAAATAGATAAATGGCATCATCTCGATAGATTGATATATTGTAGAAAGGCAGATGGTGACAGATAGGAAATCGAGGGCCCCCTTTCCTCTTACTCTCTCTCCTCCCATTCTGCTGGCTACGTGTCTATTTCTCCTATAAATGAGACAAATTATGTGACATCAAGCTAGATAGGTAGAAGGGTGGATAAATAGAAGGAGAGAACATTGGAGATCATCCTTTCCTCTCTGCATTCTAATTCATGTTCTTTTAATAAGACTGTGTCTCTTTCTCCTATAGTTTATTTCATTAAGTCAATAGTTAGATGATAGATGGATGGATACACAGATAGATAGATAGATGATAGAAAGATAGGTAGGTAGATAGATGAATAGTTCATGAAAGGAAATACTTACAGCAGCTTTTGTGGACTTGCCATGACTTTTCAAACTCTTCAACAGCTTTTCCTGTACAAGAAATATGAATGAAACAAATAACACTGGTTGATAAATGGTGTAAAATGGAGTCATATAAAATCTATTGCCTTTCAATTTCACCTGTAGTTTGTAACTCCCCAAATATCAGTCCACAGTCTTATGCTATACGTGCATGCTAAGTCAAGACCAATTTCACAAGTGTAGTGCGGATTTACTCTGCTCTTTTGCTTTCCAGTCACATGATTAAACTACTCCACTACGACACCTCTACAATTATTGCATATTAAAAGCTCAATATAATATGATTCAATTCACAATAAACTGTGCTGAATTTTCCAAATTTCAGCAATTTCAGGAATTAAAGGATTATAAATGTGATCTGCTCTTTGTGATAAAGAAATTGCAGACAAAAGAGAAGATTGAGCCGGGATGATCTTTTCTTACCTGTTTCTCATAGTCTTTCATCTGTTCTTTCCTCTTCTGGCCCAGCATTTTCTTGAATGTATCTAAGAGAGAAAACAAACAATGCAGACTTGGTTACAGAGGAAAACACTTCATCCCTTGGATAGGAGTTAAACGGAGGCCCCTTGTAGAAGATATCACAGTGTATATTTTTATGTATTTTAAGAAGTCTTTACAAATATCACATTTATATGAAATTTCAGGGAGCCTCAGGGAACATTTTCATTAGTTATTTCAGTTTTTTGTGGCCTCATATCCCTGGTCAATAATAAGCTTCATTTTTGTTTCAGGAAATGATATAAATTCATCCATTCATTTATATCGAATATAACAATTTCCCCCATGACTCTACTGTACATGTGCAATTAGAAACTTCAATTAATTTATTTAACAATTTAGTTATCATGGTCTCCGATGTATTTGCTTCTTTCTTTTTTCTTCTATTTCTTCTCCTCCTCCTTCTCCTTCATACCTATACACATGAGACCCCCCATATTTTTAACAAATAACATACAGTACATTATTAAACTTAAATCACATCTCTACTTACTGTAATTTCCTTTGTAGTATTGTAATTTCTGCATATCTGTGGGGAAAATGACAATTGTGATAAGATAGTATTAGTATTAAATCACATTCAATGCATCATGGCAGTACCTTTACTGCAACTAGACAATACAACATATCAATGCAATATAAAATGTTATCAAGTCTTTGTAAAATGATACAATTGTGATCCAATGTCTGTTTCACTGCATGGAGTACTACAGTTCAACGGCCAAAGTGCAAGGGATACAGAAAACTAGCATTTTGAGCGCTGAAGCTCATTAAAGAGAGAATCACAAAATCGGGCAATCTAATGTTTAGTTAACAAATATATGAAATGCATACCTAAGTGAATGATATCAGTACACACTTCGTCTAAAAATGTCTGGTCGTGAGAAACTATAAGGAGTGTCTTCTTCCAAGATTGAAGGTAACTGTAAAGAAGAAGAACAAGAAGAAAGAAAAAAAATCAATAGTATCAATTATTAGAGAGATAGATTAATAACCAGCAGCAGCTAAAAATAAACAAATAACTTGAACAAGCCTCCAGCATATGAAGTGCATCACATAGACTTGCTTAAAATCATACATCATCTGGGCAGAGCTAGAAGGGTGTTAACTCTGTGTTAAAGTATATGAGTTAATGCCCTTCTGGCTCCAAACAGATGACATAACACTGTATTTCATGAATCAATTAGATGAATAATTATTCTTTAAATTAGGATACAAGAAGGTATCTGAACAAATTGAATAAACATTCCCCTCTCTCTCTCTCTCTCTCTCTCTCTCTCTCTCTCTCTCTCTCTCTCTCTCTCTCTCTCTCTCTCTCTCTTTTTTTCTCTCTCTCTCTCTCTCTTTCTCTCTCCTTTAATACAAACCTTCCTCCTGCAAATGACAAAGGCCTCATGATAAAAGACTATCAATTAACATGAAATAGTGTTAATATGTAAACTTTGGAACAGAATACTAATCAGACTTACCTGTTAAGCCAGATGACAGCATTGAGGTCGAGATGATTTGTAGGTTCATCAAGTAAGAGAAGAGTTGGTTCCATGAAAAGAGCTCTGAAAGGCAGTAAAAATGAACAAAATTCAACCATACTGAATGAAGCGATCAATAAATATTTACTGAAAATTTAGTAGCATTGATAATAATAACCCCTTTTTATAAAGCTCTATACTAGTTACAGGGTACCTAACCCACCAAAGCTCTGTTAAAGTATCATTACCCCGGTCACTGGATTCTGTTACGATCCTGCACTTTACACAGCACACTCTCTGCTCCCTTTTGAGAGGTGTGCACATGTTAATTCAATCACATTGACGTTCCCCATTATGAAGAACACCCGGTTGTTAAATGGAACAATGTAGATACAATGCCTTGCTCAAGGACATCAGTGCCGTCCTGGGGATCGAACCCGCAACCTTTGCATTCCCAGTCAAGTGATTAGGCCACTCAACTACGACACACTTCTACTACCATTGCATTGAAATCACAGTCAAGTAGAAGACAGTCATATAAATGGCACTGAACAATCATAATTGAGTGTTCTCCTCTAATCTGAAACTACATGTATCCTGTGTCTTCCACTTACAGAAATATGGGATGTTCAAGACTACGCCCAAAAAGATTTGAGGGTTTTCTCAGGGCAGTTTTTCTCTTCAAAATTAATCATTGAACGATAAGTGCCTAGAACAGAACCTAAAAATCAATCCTTCAAGCTAAGGAGTAAGATAGACTTGGACTATTTTAAAAGATCACATAGTTTATACGACCATTCTTTATCACGATGATGATAGTTCTGGTTTAATACCTTGCAAGTGATACACGCATCCTCCATCCTCCAGAGAAATCCTTGGTTGGTTTCTTCTGCATGTCGGGTGTGAAACTTAGACCCTGCAAGATGGAAGAGCAAGAGGAAGGATGGTATTAAAGGTACTATGTCCCATTTGCAGGCAAAAAAAATGAAAAGGTTAAATTCCAATTCAATTCAATTCAATTTATTTTGCCAAGCAATAAAAAACATACAGGGTAAAACAAAAGCAGTATACAAAGATAAACATAACATAGATAAACACAGAAATACACAGAATCAATTTACACACATGAATAATACAAAGGAAATTGCTAATGCTGGTAGCAGCCAGAAAGGAGGTGGTCCTTGTATTTGAAAGATAATACTAATTTAGAACTTCCCTAAAAAAAAAGGGGGGGGGCTTGAAAATGTCTGTAAGTGGAAAAATAGCGACTATTAGTTGTCGAATCGACTATGCTATAGAGCCAGTAAGTAATAGTCTGATTTTCAGACCATTGTACCGAATGGTCGTACGAGAGAGAGAGAGAGAAAGAAATAGCAAACAATTACACTTATTTACAGGCATAGAAAATGCATTTCTTTTTTGAAACAATGTATGCTCGAACTTTTCTGCGTAACCAAGAGCTACATTTGAAGCCCCACTGCACTACTTATAGCTAATTGCGCCCTCTATATAGCAAATAATACCTAATCGGTGACCATTGGTCCCCCATGATCCTCTTTTTCTTATATTAAGTGAGAGCTGATTTGATGAGATAACCACCTGTCAGTGACCTTGCAGGGTAGTCTAATCCCTTCTGTAAACTAGTACAGATAGGCTTTAATGAGTTTGGTCTGTAGGGCTTATCGGTGGGCAGAAGCAAATATCCGTTATTCCCATCTGACAATTCCCAAAAAACAGTGATGGGAGCAGGACAAAGGTTGACTATGTATGATCCAAACTATTACATGTTTGTCATACTTACAGCAAGAATTCTTCTGACTCGAGCCTCAGCAGATGCTACTCCAATGACCTCCATTTCCTCATAAACCTACAGATAGAGGAATACAAAATACACGTTCAACGAGATTGGGGACATTTTTTGTCAAATTCTTAGAAAAAAATTGTAATCATAGGAAAAACTTTAGCGCTATAAAATTTAACAAGGCCATTTAGAACAAGGATGACGGCCATTTTTAAATAATCATGCCAACAAACATGCCACAAAGAGACTTTCTTATTAAAAGCTTGTGTATCTACATAAATGTACCAATGATTTTACTTCACTAATTACATATTCATTGTTTTGTTACTGATACCAGATTAACTGCACAATGCAAACATTTCTATAATGTACTATTAATATGTTGTGGTACAATACCTCTTTCAGTCTTTCTGACTTGGAATGGTCACCTCTCTCATTTTCTTCTAATAATTCTTTTTCCTGAAAATAAGACATAAGCGAAAAAAACAGACAATGTTAGGATTTCACACATAAACATTTTCTTCGCTCTGAAACACAAATTTGTTTTGACACACCAAGATGTCTCTCATAGTACAACTATTTCCACCTAACAATAATAACAATAATCACACAAGCAATAGTAAAATTAAAGCATGAGTTGTGTATTTCTTTCACTGCAAAATCCAAACAATCTGGGAAGACAGCCTATATTTCTGATAAACCTCCCTATTCAAGCAATTACAAAGTGCTGCAAGTCTTCACATGCTCATTAAAAACTTTATTATCAAAGGAAAACACAGTACGGTAACTGCAAAAAGAGCATTTACCTTTTCAAGAAATGTTTTAGGCAACAGGCACAAAATTTCGCAATGGTCTTTTAGTATGTCAATCAAGCCAATCATAAAAAAACTGCTGCAGTTTAGCTGTGCCATATCTGAAGGAGCCTCTACTCACCTCCTTTAGCAGTGCTAATCTCTTCTTATCAGCATTCAATACAGCTAGGAAGGCAGGGGTGTCATCAGCTTTCACATCTATACAGTTCAAACATCAAACAATACCATAAGATAAGCCAGGCTTATCCTTCTTCATTAACACAGCTGTACAGTGTCTCCTTTTAGGGATGTTTTTACATTATCTTTTGATCCAGAATGCTAGGAAATATACATTATATATGAGCAGAAAGAACACAAATCATTAACAAAAATTTTTAGTCCATTTTCAATGCAGTAAGTTTGGCTTTTTTCAACTAAGAGCAAAACAGTCATTAAAGCTTCTAAATTGGCAATGCGGTGTGAAATATAAAATCATATACAAATTGACAACTTTTCGGTACACTTTTGCAATTTCACATTGGTTCATTCAAAAAACATTTTTTTCCTTCAATCTAAAAGAGTGGGAAATAAGATTAATCCTTGCCAATTTGAGGGAAAACTGATTAATTTAGAAATTAAGGAATCTCTGAAGTGCTATTGGTTAATCTTATTTGTAAAATCTTACAAGTAAATAATTTGCCTTCTTGCTCAAAAAATAAGATTCACGTATTTTCAGATCTTAGAGGGTGAAAAAATTGAATCATATCTTCCATTTCACCTAAAGCAATATATATACATTTTTGTCACCAACTATCTCACTTACCCTGTTCACATAAAAGCACATCTATATTGGGTGGTATCGCTAATTTCCTTCCTGCTATATGTGAAAGGAGAGTTGTTTTCCCCATCCTGTATTTTCAAGAAAAGAGATCAAAGAGTACATTTATATCAAAATGATTATTTCATTTAATTTTACCAATTTTTATAACCACTATCAAATGAGACAAAAGAGGCTGTTGGTCTAGTGTCAGATAATGATGGATCTGTCAAACTTCTTAAAAGTCACTCCTATTTTACTTTGTATCCCACATTCTCACATGTTCAGATGTTGGAAGAATCATTCGACTCAAAAAAAGTCCACAGGAGTAGATGAAGCCATGCATGCTAAATGTTGGTAACAAACAAAAATCAAATTACACATTATGTAGACCCCTACAATTGAAAGCTTTTTGTTCACAATCCTGTTGTTTTTTTTCTTTCCGTCAGAAGGCAAACTTCCCCTATGATCACGAGACTCACTTGTGATTCTGCAAGCTTTTTCTACAATATTGTCAACAAAATACCATTTTGGAGGGAGAAAGACATATCAACAAAGATTCTGACAATATCTAACTGTTAATTCCTTTAAAAAATACAATGGAATAAAGTGAACATATATATCCAAATTCTGAATAAAAATGTCTGTTCCAATTGTGATACGCAATTTTTGCTATTACAATGTTTGGGGGATAATTGTTATGCTGCAGTAGGCTCACTGCAGTGGCAGGAACTTGTAACTTGTTGTTGCATATGAAGTTTACTGATCATGCTGTTGACATCGGTCATAAATTTTATCTGTCACGTTGACAAAGATAATTAATTAAGACTTACCCATTGGGTCCTACTAGGCCATAGCGCCGGCTCTGAGCGATGGTAAGTGATGCGTTCACAAACAGTGCCTTGCCAGCAGCAGAAATAGAGAATTTCTCAACCTGTATATAAAAAACCCACAAAGATCTGATTCAAATCAAATCATATGCAATGTAGAGAGCTAATATTTCTTGGCTATGGTTTTACAGTGAAAATGAAGAATTCACGATTCATTATAGTACAAGCAAGTCTGGAGAATTTGTTAAAGCCATTGTAAAGCCCTATCTTTTCAGCCTAAAGTGGAGGGTAGAATACATCACTGTTTACGGTAATGCTTTGCAAGAAACTTAGCGAGTCTCACTCATTCAGTGCTGTGTCTGTAGGATTCAATTAATGTGCGGCATGAAACTTTCATGAATCTTTACCACTAGAATTCCGCAAACATTTCATGTGCCTGAATCCTCCTTGTTTTACAGTTCTTACCTTGATATCTTTAGCGTTCTCCAGGGCAGCTCCTTTGACGTTAGTTGCTTGTTGAGACAGAGAGAAGTTAGACAGGTCTCCATCTTCAAGCAGCTCCAGTTTCATTTGCTCCTGAAGGAGATGGAGAAGCAATTCATATTAAACCACTATCATCTTATTCAACTAGGATTTTACTAATACAGTCAAACCAGCTTTAGTGACCACCTGTCTATAAAGACCACCTGTTTCCAAAGACCAAATTTTTCGTTTCCATTGAAAATGACTTCTCATTTAAACATGTTCTAAAGGGCCCTGTACCTGAGATCACCTACCTATAAAGACCACTTTTCTTGTCTCTCTTTGGTGGTCTTTATAGACAAGTTTCACTGAATATCACTTATGGTAAGAGCTTCAACTTATTGGTGATGTTACATTGAGAAATTACTCTTTTCCCACTCTCCATAAAAAAAATGACCTACTCTAATTTGTTAGCTTTTACTTTCTGTGCTGCAAGTTTCTCCAGACCTTTATCATAGCTGGCAGTGTTGCAGATGCAGCACAATGTGGTAGAAAAGGATTGCATGTTAAAGAAATAGTATGCTTGGCCAAGTCTATCTGTTCATGGCCGCTCTGTTGTGCTCTGTTTACAATTCCAGTCTACTACATCGTTGTATGGATCAGCAACAGTGGCAGCTACGATGAAGGTCTGAAGAAGCTTGCAGCACTTCATGTGATAGATTACCAAAAAAAAAATTAATGATTGGGGAAAAGGGACAACAAGGCAAGGACATTATGTTCAATGTTGTGCATACAAAATGCCATTTGGGAAAGATAATCTAAGTCAAAGCTAAACAAATATAAACAGAATTCTGACTGACTCTACTGATCAGACTCATTATGCACCAACCATACTTTCACAGTTTTCTTATTAAATATAAACAGAAATATTTCAAAATCATTGACGATATTGGCAAAAAAAGCTAATTAAATAAAAATACCTCATTCTGTAACTGCTGCTTTGTATTATACATATCAATAAGGGTTGCATTACTGCATTACAGGTCTCGTCATCAATTTTAAACAAATTTGAAAAGCTTGCTTCTTCTCTGCAAGGTAGGACAGAAATATGTAAAGACGTGTTTATTACAAACCTTTTTTTTCTGTCTCTTCATCTCCTTTCTGCTCATCTTCTTAGCTCCTTTCTCCTCCTCTTTGGGAGCTACATCTTCTCCTGGAAAGTTATTACATAATAAAGAAGATGATGACAGTGTTGACAGTAATAATAATGATAATAATAACAATAGTAATAATTATAATAACAATAGTAATAATGATAATAATACAAATAATTAGAATAATAATAATCATCATCATTAAAATTTGTTTCATATTGCACATTTTCCACCTACATATCGAAATATGCTGTACAATTAGAGGGTAATCAAACCGCGATAGCTAGTTACTTTGAGTAAAAAGCAGGAGAGCTAGAGAAATTGATTGATGAAACTATGAACTATATCACAAAAACATGAAAATAATTAAAAACCTAAAAGGTTGTGAGAATTAAGTGCAAACAAAAAATAAGAGGGAGACATTTAGTAATATTAAGAGTCAGTAATATTTGTAATGCATCCGTTAATAGCAAAAACAGGATATAAGCAACTGCTTTTGTTTTTTTTAATTTGAAATCATTTTACAAGCACCCATGTGGCCCAAGGCAGGGTCACTACTTAATAACCCTTACAATAGAACATACCGTCCATATAAGAGAATTGTAGTTCCTCCTCCTTTGATTCATCATCCTCGTCATCATCTTCTTCTTGTTTAGATGGTTTAATCTTCTTCTCTTCCACCTTCTTCTCCTCTTCCACCTCGTCCTGTACCTCCTCAAGGAAATCAAAGCGACCTAGAAATAAAAGAGATTCATAGAATATTAGGGAATGGTCAGACATGGGTCCTGTAAAACAAAGCGGCCTAGAAATAAAAGGGATTCATAGAATATTAGGGAATAGTCAGCCATGGGTCCTGTAAAACAAAGCTTAGCAATTGATTATAAGATTAATTGATTGAACATCATGGTCACTTTGAAAAGCAAGTGATATTGGAAGCTTTTTGTCAACATTATTGTCGAAAAAATGCCATTTTAGTGGGAAGAAATAAAACATGTCAACAAAGATTAGCAATCGATTGCTGACTTATCTTTCTGTTACATGGCTCAGAATGATAACTTTTACTCTATTTGGTACTTGACAGCTTCTGTTTTCGTAGGTTAAAAAGTTATTTTTAATTGTTTATAAAAACAAACTTTTTTCCTTGTTGCATTAAGCTATGGTCACAACTCAGAGCAGCGACCGACTGATTTGTAGCCTGCTCGGTCGCCGCTGGAAGCATCGCCCTGTCAATTTCACGTCGGTTGCTGGTCGATTTTAGGTAAAAACTGGGCGAAATCGGGAGCTTCTCCGGGCGGCGTCCCAGCAGTGACCGACTGATGACCCACAGATTCCTGAGCCGTCTGATTGGCGTGGCACCAAAATAAGCTTGGTGCCCGGACACCGACCTAATTGAGCGTTCGCCGAAGAGCGATTTAGGTAAAAAAACGAAGCAGCTAGGTCAAAGGCTGCCACCGATTTTGAACTCGCCGCCCAGGACCGAAGGATCTCCCAGCGGCGACCAGGCTTTGACCGCTCTGCAGCCTTTGACCTAGCGGCTTCGATTTTTTAACCTAAATCGCTCGATGGCGAACGCTGGATTAGGTCAGTGCCCGGCCGGGGACCGCCCATATTTTGGGCGGTGAGTGAAAAGTGAGCAGGCGCCGCCAAATTTTAAGTCCGTGCTAAAATTTCAGCGGCGACCGAGCAATGCCCAAGCAAAATTGGCTAAAAACAAGCCGCCTGGCTGCCGAGCAGGCCACTTTTTGGGGTTGTGACCATAGCTTAACATTTGGTAGCCCTGCTAGCACCATCATTAGTATCATGATGTAACATGTTCATATAGTTTATTTGTCTAGCCTATTTGGATAGACTAACCTTTCTTTTTCTTTTTCTTGTCTTTCTTCACATTACTGGGAGCTGGTTCCTCAACTTCTGCTGGTTCATCCTGGAATAGACAAAGAAAACAAAAATTCTTTCACTCTTCTTTTGCGGGATTTCACTATTCAACATTGGTGGGTAAAGACCAAACTGCTGACAACAAAACGACAATCCTCCAACATGGAGTCAAATAAGTTCTCAGATTAGTACAATTTAAACAGGTCCTTCATATTTCAAGAGTACTGACAAAGGGGAGAAATTTCAAAAAAAGCATAAACAAATGGGTCAGGGCTCAATAAAGTTGAATGCATCACTGTTGCCTGCCGGCACTCACTGTTCCCAGTACATGATAAATCTCTAAACATCATTAAAAGATCTCAACTATTTTCCCCCATTTCAGTAAAAATTACTCTGGTATTTCTTTCATAGACAAAACAGTATAATGATGGAGATATTACCTTGGCGATAGCAGGAGGAGTTACTTCTTTTGGAGCAGCATCCTCTTTCTTTGATGGAGCTGGGGTCTCCTCTGCATCATCTTCCTCCTCCTCATCATCACCATTCTCCATTTCATCCTGGAGGGCAAAGACTGTAACAAAAAAAGAAATATGTATTATTTATACACTTCCCAAGAAGGTGTTGTCACAAATTTTTTTTTGTTTAAAGATGGATAAATCTTATCTGAAGTGTTAGAAAGGAAGTTAGATAGCTAGAAATTAAATTTACTTTGTAGTGTTAAAAGAGAATAAGAGAAATTTACCTCAAACAGATATAGATGTTTTCCGATGAAACATGTATTATAATGTCAATTTTTCCATCAGACGAAAAGAAAAGCATGATACATTTATCAAAAGTTGCAACAGAGGATAGCTTTTAATATCCTACTGCTAGCCTAGACAGATTCATGTGTTCAAGAAAAAATCAAGAGCTTCTTAAGTGCCATTTACTTTGTTAAAGAACACTGGATTGCATTGGCTCAACTGGTCATTTTGTAAAGTGATATATTATTTTTTAAGTGGCCCAAACATGTGGAGCAATGTGCAGCGCTTCGTAACCGTAAAGAAAAGGCACTATATTGAATACCTTTTATATTGTATTGGATCTTTATTTATACCAAAAAAAAAGGGTGAAATTTCTAAGTATTATGTTACCATCTGGCTTGAAATGTTAGATAGTATTCTTTAAAAGTATGACTTACCTTTTTGGGGTGCCTGCTTCTTTCCTTTCTTGCCTTTTGGTTGCTTCTTTTGAACCTCTTCTTCTTCCTCTTCATCTTCTTCCATTTCATCCTAAGAACAAGACAAATGAAACCATGCAATAAAGAAAAACATTAAGCAACCTTTACAGCTGTTATTTAGTCCAGCAACTAATGTTAAAACTTGTAGCAGCAAAGGCTGCAAACCCCGCCAAGGATTATTAAGAGAAGGCCAGCCTACATTAATATGATTTGCCTAAGAAATGCTAGTATTGCATCCTAAAACAGAAAAGCAATGCACAAAGTATAAAGGAGGTAAATCAAGAACACTTGGAAAATATGAATATATTAAATATTATTACTAATTATTACTAGTTTAAAACTTGAAATCCATATGTTTTCAGTTAACTGCCATAGATGACAGGGTAGTGTGGTACAAGATAAGACCAAGATACTTGAGTTCAATAGTCACCCTCAGACATCCCCATAAATCCCATAGGTCAACCCTACACAAATGGCTTCCTTAAAGCCCAAATGGCTTCACTGGTAGAATACATATATGACATGTATGTTATATTTATATATCAGACATTATATACCTCACTTAAGAAATCCAGCCATCTGATTGGTCGAATTGCATTCATAAACTTCAACTGTTCCTGTAAAATTCCCGGTAACCATGCTTAAAACATTTCAATATTTTTAATAACCATGGTTATTAAAAAAATAGGTCAGCCTCCATGGTTACCCCATAGGTTTACATGTTAAAAAATGGTTTGAGCGATGGAGGATACCGTATGTGTGCGAAGGATTGGTCGGTAATTTCAATACAATTGAATCTCGATCGATCTTACCGACAATTTTATCTTGCATTGTTGACATGAAGACGAAAATAAACTTCCAAAAACAAAAAAACAACATCTGCCGATAGATCTTGATCTAAGTTCGTGCCAATATGCATTGCAAAAGTAAAAGAAGAGTCCGTATATGGAGCTTTTGCGAAGCATTCATCACACGCGAAGCCGGTTTCAATCCATTTTAATGTATATATTGTACAAAACTGCCAAGCATGTGAATAGCGCGCGATGGCCGAGAGGTCTGAGGCGCTGACTTTAGTTACATCACCTTTTGTACGCAAGAGTTCGAATCTCATCTTCGACCAAAAAAAAAAAGTATTTTTTATTTTTTATTTTTTAGTCTATTTTTTTTCGGCATATAAAAGTATTAATGACTGCTTTAATATTCGAGAAATAGTTGTTTTCATACGCTCTCGGGAAGGTTACAATTGGGCTATTCCCCTCGGCAAGCCTCGGGGAATAGCACAATTCTAACCTTCCCTTGAGCGTAATAAAACAACTATTTCTCTCAAAGCAGTCATTAATACTATAATATTAATTTAAATTTGAATATTGAGAATGCTTCCTGACTGATAGTCTCTGTACTCACCTCAAGATCCATTTGTTTCATTTTGTTCATGAGATCATCTTCATCATCATCAGAATCGTCCATCTTTCCTCTTTTCTTCTTCCCCTTTCCTTTCTTCTTAGATGCTAGAATAAAAAACATACAGGTAATAAATCAATAAAGCATCATGTATCATACAGTGACTAATAGAAATTGCAATAAATCTTTTAAAATAATCTTTAAATATGGCCAGGCATCAGTGCTAAACTGACTTAGTGTGCAGGCAAAGACTCTAATTTGACACTTAAACACTTTGTAAAGCCTTGAGTGGAGCCTAACTCCAGAGGAAGAGGTATTGTAGTCTAGTGGATAAGTCACACGACTGCAGATCACAAGGTACGGGGTTCGAGTCCCACCGCTGCACTAATGTCCTTTGGCAAGACGATTAATCTACATTTGCCATTCTCCACCCAGGTGTTGAATGGGTACCCAGTATGATGAGAAAGTTAAAGGAAAATCCAACCCAAATAGACATCTACTCTAAACGAAAGCAGAAAAATCAGAGAAGCAAACTGATGAAAGCATGAATTAAATCTGACTAAATATAAGAAAGTTATAAATATTTTTTTTCAATTTTTTTTTTTAATGCGACCCTAAATAATCTTATCTATCACCAGAGTAACATGAAACTACCTTTGGCTGAAGTAGATCTGTTTGTTTCCTCTTCCTCTTCTTTCATTGCCGCGGCTATAGGGTCTGGAATGTCATCATCAGAATCATCTTGTCTGCCTTTCTTCTGATTTTTCTTCTCCTTTTTCTTGTCTGTAAATTGAATTAAAAAATACATACATAAAACTATCTAGAGGTTTTCAAGCAAAACTGGAGGCTTTATGATAAGTACTAAAAGTACTCCTGACGACGGATAGTCAACCTGTTCAAAACGTCGAGCCACTCTCGTCCTCTCCAAGCGCTATAGTTCTCCTTAGAACTACATGTATAAGCTAAGAAAGATAACCAACAGTCTTTTTCAAGACTACACACCCTCAAGAAAGATTACAGAGAGTCCTTTTCAGGACTCCTCAATCCTCTTTCTCTCTCTCTCACATGGTGCGCCCGCAAGCCTACTGTATAAGTACTAAAATGTTACACAGTTGGGTTTCAATGAAGGCATTTCTTTTATAATTTAAGATGCTCTTCACTTGTATCAAATAATGCTTTTTTATACCCATCCACTCCCCTCTACTAATTGATGGGAAAAAATGTCAAACCAGACTTCCCAACCACTTTACATACAAACAAAATCTGTGTAGCATTCAGTGAATTTCCTCTTTCAATGAAAAGAACCTTGTATAGTGAAACCTGTAAATAAAGACCACTCAAGGGAGACAAGGGAAGCAGTCTTTATAGACAGGTTTGGTACAGGTTTTAATAAGAAACGAATTCGAGGGAAACAAAATAGGTGATATTTATAGAAAGACAGGTGATCACTGAAGCAGGTTTCACTCTACCATCTGTCTAGAAATAGAATGATCACTCTTTTTGTTTCCTTTCACAAGTTTTCATACCAGTTATCTTTATGTCATTTTTTTTATTCCATAAAAAGCAACTGAATGTAGCTACCTTTTTTGCTTTTGGCAGCACTGTCACCATCCTCGACGCTGGGAGCAGTACTTGTCTTAGGCATGTCGTCATCATCATCTCCACCCCTCTTTCCTCCTTTCTTACCCTTCTTAGGCATGGTGATGCCCCTTCCTCTCTCTAGTCTTCAGTGTGTGTTCTGTGGAGGTACGAAAAGAAAATGTGAGATGTGAGATGACTGCAGGACTAATGACTTATTTCGATATACTGATGAAGCAGACTGAAAGTTTCAGTTCCTTATATCAACAGTTGTTATGCTGAGATTACGTCAGGCTCCACTGACCAGTCCAATTGGATCATTCCTTCCTTGTGTAGTTGATCATTTCTGTTAAGATCAGTCATTACGAACTTGTAGCTCGTGCAGTTTTTCCTTCATAATCATTTTGTCTTGCATGTAGACTAGAAAGGATGAGATTTAGAATGATGTCATGCGCAGCGAGAGTTAAAATACGGCTTGCAAGATTTTCAACATAGATGTCGATTTTGACCCATAATTTCCTGAAAATGGACCATTAAACAGATTTATTCAGTCAAGTTGGTAAGTGGAACTGAAGAATAAATGGCCATATTGCTTGAACAGGAACGCCTATGGTCAGTTTCTGTTTCTAAAGAGAGGAGCCGACCCTACCCAAACCAGAGGCTATAATGAACAAAAGAGATAGAACTTTCGGTCTAGCAAAGTGAATGAACCGTCGCTTATCAGTAGGGGCGCTGGTCCGAGAATAAGGATCGTCTTCATAAACGAAGATCGTCTTTGAAAACGCGGACCAATGCATCCTCAAAAACAAGGATCATCTGCAAAAAAGCAGATGTTCCATATTTTTATTGGCACATTGGCGATGTAAAAAATGGATTCCGGGATGATTATCTTGATGCATTTTACATTGACTTAATTTGTACAAAGACCTTCACATTATGAGCAATAAAACCTTGAGAAGACGGACAACCCATCAAAGTAGACGGTCAAATAGGGTTATTTTCCCCTGGGGATCAAAATCGGCATTGCCAGCGGGCGGTTCAGTAACCCGAAAGTCGCAGAGCGCCGATGAAAAAAAACGTCCGCGAAAATGCAGACGATCCTTGTTCGGAGGACGCATTTTGTCCACGTTTATGAGGATATCCTTGTTTATGAGGACGATCCTCATTCTTAGACCAGCGCCCCTACTACTACTGCTTATTTTACAAGAATGTGGAGTGCCAATAAATATCATTCATAATCTGATAATCATAGACATGAACTCTTCATCATGATAATTTCATTAAAAAACACATTCATTCAAATCATTGATCCACCTACACAGAGCTACCAAGTATCATGCATTAGGCGTGACATCACGCATTTCGAGGGTCTGAAAATGCTCTTACGCACGACGCGCATGCGTGCTAGATTTTGAAAAAACGCTATAGACTCTACCACGTGTGTTATACCCTCGCGCGCCGAATCATGAAAATGTCACGCATTGCCGATCTTTGAACTTGGCGTCTCTCTGCCTACATGCGGCACTCAATTAATTTTTTGTTGTTGTTGGTTTTCCCTATGAAATTACAATTCCCCCCACTCTGTGTGTCTCTCACCTGCTCACTCTGCTCTGTTGACTCCGTCTCTGACTCTGCTCTCTCTCTCTCTCTCTCTTTCTCAATCAATCTCCGACGAAAGACTCGAACTAAAGAGTGAGACAGACCGAGTAGTAGATCTAGATAATTATTCTGCCTCTATCATAAGATCCAGTCAGTGGTGGCCTATAATCAGAACGATTTGTTTACTTTCCTCTTGTAACTTTTGTATTCGCAATATGGTTCCTCAAATAGCAATCCAGCGATCTACTGTACGTAGACTGCATAAAACATAATTTGTATTGAACACATGTACAATCGCATTTCCGCGCGCCGATCCATTCATTCACGCATTGAGATTTCGCAATCCTAGCGCAATACACATGTACAAAAAGGAGACTCGCCCAGACTAAACTTGTCCACCCAAGGAATAATCTAAAGTTTTTACATGTCTAATTGTACGATTAGGCGAATAAAAATGCAGGAAATGGAATGATAATGTTAATTATGAATTGATATTGGATTATTTCAATGTTGAGAGTTCATATATTTCATGGTCTTATGAAAATTGACGAGATAGTACAGTAGTTTACTTTATTTAATATTTAAAACGCCCAAGTTGTAGACTACCCATTTGCAATCATGGCGGGTGCTTCGGCTGGAGATTGGTGTCTGATCGAGAGTGATCCCGGTGTTTTTACAGAGCTGATTAGAGGCTTTGGTATGCTAATTGTTTTAAATTTCTATCCAATTTGGATCTTCTCGTGAAATAAGACACCTGGTGCGTGTAAAGTCTAGACTATGGCCTTGGGGAAGTGGAATCCATCGGCATTACATTTACAGTTACACGCAAGACCGATGCAAATTGCAATGACAATGCCAATTATGAACAGCTATCTGTGCAAAGTGAATGAGCAGTGGCTTGTTTCACGAGAATGCCCAGATTTGAAATAAAGCACACTTGATACTAGACCGAATTTTCCGTCTCTTTCGTTCGTTAGCCTCTTATTGGGGTAGGGTCGGCCGGCTCTCTCTTTAGAGACGGAAGCCGTTTATACACATGTCCTTGCTAACGCCACGGCCAGTCCTGGTCGTAGCGTTTTGCCCCCAAAATCCCCCAAAATGTCATTTTACCTCGAGCATGTTATATTGTAAATTAGGCCTAGGCTATAATAAATCAGTTCCACTTACCAACTTGACTGAAATAATCAGTTTAATAGTCCCTTTTTAGGAAATTATGGGTCAAAATCGAAATCCATTTTGAAAATCTTTTTCAACATGGATTCCGATTTTGACCCATAATTTCCTAAAAAGGGACTATTAAACTGATTATTTCAGTCAAGTTGGTAAGTGGAACTGATTTATTATAGCCTAGGCCTAATTTACAATATAACATGCTCGAGGTAAAATGACATTTTGGGGGATTTTGGGGGCAAAACGCTACGACCAGGACTGGCCGTGGCGTTAGCAAGGACATGTGTATAAACGGCTTCCGTCTCTAAAGAGAGAGCCGACCCTACCCCAATTAAGAGGCTAACGAACGAAAGAGACGGAAAATTCGGTCTAACTTGATACTTGATGTGGTAATCCCTGAAGCAGCTTTTCCAAGCTATAGGCCTACTGGGATACACTTCTAAAGTTCTAAAGCGTTTTTGTTCAACTTTCTTTGATAAAAAATAAATAAGTGCAACTACAAAATAACAGAGATGTGTTATAAGTATGTATGATGAATGATTGAGATTGGTCTAGGAATTGACAATAACATCCATTGAAAAATGACAATGATTGTCATTCCGTAGTCTTGGCTTGGCCTAGTTATTCATTATTGTTCAGTTGTCATGACTCGTGTCATCCAACAATTTTTCATGAGCCATTACAATGTGAAGATGATAATCTTAACTAAAGAAGTCGATAGTTTTGTGATCCTTTAAGGGCCTATCTCACTGAGCGGCGAATGCTTGCGAACGTAGCGAATTTGGGGTTTCGCCAGAGTTTGTAAAATGTTGTAAAAGGTTGCAAGAGAAAGATCGCAAACAGTTTTCTTTGTTGTAAACAGTTTTTCTTGTCGCAAAGAAATTTTGGACATTTTCAAAAAAAAATTGCGAATTTATTTTTCCGCAAACAGTTGCAGGCGTTTGCAAAACAGTCGTAAGCCTTTGCAAACGGTTGTTAAACAGTTTTGCTCTTTGTTTTCGTCAGTTCTCTGTGTTTCGCCAAAGCTAGCGACCACGTTACCATATGGTTCCTTTATAAAATCGACCCATTGAGTACCAGTAGTTAGCAAAAGGTCTCAAACATTCACAAATAGTGGCAAAGGATTGGCAAATAGTTGCTAATCTTCGCAAAAGTTGTCGCTAACATTTGTTTACAGACGCTAATAGTCGCCAACTGCCTTTCGCAAACACTTTCGGAGACATTCGCTCAAATGTTGCTAATTGTCGCTAAACGTCACTTAATGTCGCTGATTTTCGCCAACATTCGTCAGAAAAGTTGGCGAATCCAAATTTGCAACGTTCGCAAGCATTCGCTGCTCAGTGAGATAGGCCCTTTAAGAATAATTGAGAAAGTGAACATCGAACAGCAGCTAAAATTTCAATGGTAAAAATTATAAAAAGTGCCTAACTCCGGATACAGGGGAGATTTCAGGCCAAGGGCCATTTGGATGGCAGAGCCGCTGGAGTAACTAAGAATCTGGAGCATGAGAGGGTGCCATATAAGCAGTAAAATGTTGGCCTTGCGTCATGTGATAGGTCAATTTTTTGTATAATTAATGGGGTTTTTTTTAATCAAATTTTGAGATTGTGATATGGTTGAGGTTGCATGATTTTGAACATGACTTTTAAACTTGTGTTATGACATGTGGCAAACTGGCAAGTTGGCAACTATAAAGCCTTGAGAGTCTATTGTCAAATTTATTTGTCGCTGTCGGATCCTCAATTATGATTAAACTTAGTTACATCTGATGTACATAAGTTGAAATATAAGTTGAAATAAGTTGAAATATAAGTTGAAATAAGTTGAAATATAAGTTGAAATATTTATTGGTTACTGAATCATCATAGGTTATAACAATAATGTGACAATGTCTTTACATGAGTATAAAACATAAGTTAAATTACATTTCCACATTCAGTAAATCATAGATACATACGCTCGAAGAGGTGATGATACAGAAGGGCTACAGCCTAAGCGTGACAGCTTGATACGCTTGCAGCCCAGAAACATTTAAAATCATAACGATTGTAAAGTAAAGTAAATTACAAAACATAATTGGGGGAAAATAACAAAAATAAACAGTGACTTGCAACCAAAAAAAAAAAAAAAAATGGGATAGAGGGTGCATGGGAGGGGGATTTTCCTGCTATATCAAGGAAATGCTGACAAACATATATGATATCATGTGTTAATTTAAGAGATTTGTCAATATTTGCTCAATAAAATTGATTTCACACTTTTCTTGAAAGTATATACTGACTTCAAGTTACGGATGTCAACGGACAGTGAGTTCCAAATATCCGGACCAGAATGTCTTATAGATTTCATAGCCATTGTTGTTTTAGGATTACATAAATGGTATTTATTTGATTGTCTGGTTGGGTATGTATGAATATTTCTATTCAAACAAAACATTGGTGGGAAGTGGGAAGGTAGGGAATCATTTTGTAGACGGAACATGAACAGTGCTTTTTGTAAAAAGTTAATATCAGTTACTTTCAGAGTTTTTAATCTCGCGAATAGGGGATCAGTGTGATCGCGATATCCAGCATTGGTACACACACGAATCGCTTTCTTTTGTAAAAGTAGCATTATATCAGTATATACTTTTGAGTCTGCCCACAGTATATTGCAATAAGACATGTAAGGAAGAATCAAGGAATTGTATAGCATATATAGAATATTCAAAGGCACATAATGTTTTAACTTATACAGTAAACCAACAGTGCGTGACAGTATAGATAGAGGTCTGTCTCCGATTTTTTAACGTACCAAGATATGCAGGATGACATTTGAGGTGAAAATATATTTTGTTTGTTTGTTATATGTCATTTGCTTTCCCTATCCTGTCTAGCTCTTTAAGAAAATGTAGACCATTTTAGCATCTTTGATTTTCATCAGGTGTTGGTGGAATGCAAGTTGAAGAAATATGGACCTTGGATGATGACACTGCACTGGAGAAGCTGAAGTGAGTATTTAGATATGAAGTTTGATCCTTGGAGAACCATTGTTTATGCTATTCTATTCTATTCAGGCGCGGATCCACAGACCCACCCCCCTAGCCACCCAAAATGGTAAAAAAATAGGATAGTTATTAGTAATGTAAATTTTACTTTTTTTTTAAAACAAAAAACAAAAGCAACCCGACCCCCCACCCCCAAAACAAATTATTTAAAGGTAATACAAAGTTTTGGGAAATTTTGAAAATTGGGTGGATAGTGATTCTTTACAATTTTGATATATTTGGATGCCCCTGTGGCTGTATTATAAGCACTAGAAAATTTAGCCCCTAAAACACTTCTGCTTTCGAGAAAAATTGAATATAAAAATTTACCGGTGCTCCCGGTAAATTTTGATAAATTTCAAATAGCGCCTACGGCCGTACTATGGTAGTTGCGGCCATGAAAATCTCAGAATATGCAGTTGTGATATATAATTTCCAAATGGGAATAGCCAATCGGTCGATTTAAATCAAGAAACATTGTTTTTTAGCTAAATTAATATATTGACCTTGAGAAGGAGCTATACAACATAAAGAGTTTATTATTTACAATTTCATAACTTTAGACTCAATTTCAACCGGAACAACTATCATTGAATATTGAAGGATCGCATATGCTTCAAATATTTTCATTTAAACCAAATTCATGACCCCATACCAAAACTTTGTATTACCTTTAACCCCCCCCAAAAAAAAAAAAAAATAAATAAATAAAAAAATTAGTGGTCCTCTACTCCAGCATCCCCCCCCCCCACTATCACTATCACCCCTGAGATTATGTAATATCTACATGTAAATGTGGTGTTTCACTGTTAATAACAAAAGCATTAAAAAAAGGTTTGAAAATATATGATTCATGACATGCAAACACAACTTATCCAGACTCACAAATAAATGGTCCATTACTCACTTATTCCAAAACTTTTATTGTGTTGGTGTTTTAATTTTTTCTTTCATGTTTCGGCTTTGGCAAATTATTTAAATTGTTTTGTTGTGTAGGCCTGTTCATGGGCTGATATTCTTATTCAAGTGGCAGCCTGGAATGGATTCATCTGGAACGATCGTTCAAGACAGCAGATTAGATGACATCTTCTTTGCTAAACAGGTAAATCATTAATCATTTAATTGAGAGAATGGTCATCTAGCACGATCTAGGACTAGGATTTTGTAATAAAATCTGTAAAGTTTTGTTGATATGTACATAAAATATGGCAAACGGGTAGGCATGAAAGGATCATTGATGCATTGTAGGATAGGGGATTGTATGTTTGGATACAAATAAAGCCTTCTCTTTTGACTTTCATTTCACCAAAAATATGCATCAAACAGCATTGTCCATCATAAATATTTGCCCTTTATAAAAATTGTTTAACGTACCGTAAGTCTTAACAAGACTAATGAAACATTGCTTGTTAACTTCTTCAAATTACTGTTTGAAATAAACTGTCCAGATAACTGACCTGTCTGGATGGGTAGTATGGGTGTCTGTATGGGTAGGACAGTTAAATGAGTCATTTAATCAACTGTCAACATTTTCTAATTACCACGGCTCTGATTTGATATCTTACCATTCTCCATTGATATCTAGATGAAGTTAATGAAATGCATGTAATTAAACGTAGCTTAATAGGAATTGCATTGCAGATGTAACACCCAATGTTTCTTAAATCCTTCTGTTTGTTTCTGGTCACTAATGATTTCGTTCAATATTATAATCTGTAAAAGAGTTGGGTTACATTGTTTTATTTGATTCCCTGTTGTTCTTGTTTTTTGTAGGTAATCAACAATGCATGTGCCACCCAAGCCATCCTGAGTGTTCTGATGAACTGTCACCATGGTGATATGACCCTTGGCAACCAGCTCAAGGAATTCAAAGAGTTCACTTCGACCTTTGACCCCACAGTGAGTAGATTATGATGACCTTTCCTTGAGCTTCAGCATCAATAGGAATTAAACTAAAGCTAGATGTTCATGAGTATTGAGTGAATTAATGTATCATGACATACATCTAAATGCTAAATTACCTATGGCTTATTCACTTCAAAGTTGGTAAATAGAACAATATAATTTATATTGAAAACTGTGGTACAGTGATGCTCATTCCTGTTTTTTTCTCCATGTATTTCTGAATGATTTCTTGTGATGTTATCTCATACCTGGAATTCAACAAAAATTACTTAATTTATGTCTGAATATATGTGTTTATTTTTTTCAAACAAAAGTGAAGAATCCATATCTCGGAGTAGCACTGGAAATCATGAAAATTACGATGTTTTTTTCTTCTTCAGATGAAAGGCCTTACTATTAGTAATTCAGAAGTCATCAAAGATGTTCACAACAGCTTTGCAAGGTATTGTATATATTTATTACAAAAACAATAACATTTGGAAGTATTAGTTTATTTGATTGTTAGTTGGTATTGATAACAATGAATTTTATTCCATTATAGCAGTATATTAACATGCCTATGCCATTCTATATTTCATCTTTTTCTCATATCAGTTCTACATTAAATGAAATTTTACTTAGTATTCAAGGTGTTGATATGAACAAATAAGATGTATTTAAAGTTCTAAATAAATGTTTTAAAATGACAATGTGGAGTATTTATTTGACAATGATTCTTCTGTTTGTTCACAGACAACAGATGTTTGAGTTTGATTCGAGACAAGCTAACAAGGATGATGATGTTTATCACTTTGTGAGCTACATGCCCATCCAGGGAAGGTTGTATGAACTGGATGGATTGAAAGACGGCCCAGTAGATCTAGGTAAGAGGAATAAAGTAAGCTAGAATTTCCTATGTAGGAGTGTCGTGGCTGAGTGGTTTTAGGCGCTTGACTGGAGATGCGAAGGTCGAGGGTTCGAATACCGACACAGCACTAATATCCTTTGGCAAGATATTAACCTACACTTGCTACTCAAGTGTTAAATGGTTACCCGGTAGGATGCGACCGTCATTGTTGGTCAAACAGTATTTGAGTGTCAAGTAACGCCTGGCTGGAATGCTCCCTAGGGAGTGAAGATTGTGCACACAGTGTGTGGGGGCAAGCACTGAATCCAATGACCGTGGTAATAGTATATCTGTAAAGCGCTTAGGGACATTGTATTAAGCGCTATATAAGTGGAATATTATTATTAACGTAAGCTAAAATTTCTGATGTTTTTGCTTTCACGCTGAAATTTGATAGGGTAGATCTAGGGAAGAGGGCGTAGGATAGAGGATTGGAGTTGGCAAGAATTGATTCTGCATTAGTAACCTACAATTTGCTTACTATACTCCTAATTTCTGATTAAACTTGACCACAAAAATCAGATTTCATTTGATGTAGGTACATTCTTCTTATGAAGTATAAGAGCCATAGTAAGCCAACTGTATTGGTAAAGTGAAATCAATGAGTGTATTGCATATTGATGAAAGGTTTGGATTGATATCCAAGAGCTTAAAGCATGGCTGCATTCTGTTTGGCATGATAGTTTTTATTGGCAAGCGTGTTTACAAAAAGAAGAACAAACAAATTTCTCAGTTTAGAAAATGATTTTAAAAGTGGTCTGATGTGGAATGAAATTTCACCAATTTTTGCAACAATTTAGGGAAGGTAACTTTATTAAACATTTTGGTCAAAATGCATTGCAGTTAGATTAACGGACCGTAGATCACTAATTTAGCAATAACTTGTAATTGCAATCAGCACCTGCTCAATTGAGGCTTTGTCCTTTAACATAAAAAAATTTGCATATGTATTGACATAATACATTGACAACATTTTATCTAATGTTACTATAGGAAGAGCCGATGATGGAGACTGGCTGAAAACAGTGAAACCTGTCATCGAGGAGAGAATACGCAAGTTAGTATACTGTGTCCAAGAACATATAGAAAATATGTAACTATATATGTAACTATGTAGGTATATGTGTAAGACCATCAACGCTTTCAAAGAAGTTCAGTTCTGTTAAAAGAGAAAAATCTCAGATGCAGGTTGTGAAAGTTGAACATAATATGACGTTGAGAAATCAATAGCGTCTGGATAGTGAACTTCGTAATTAGGATAGTATCCCTTTGCAAACACAAGAACTTCTTTTCCAATCCACATTTATGATGGTTATGTTATGGAGATGACTCCAGGCTTTTCAAATGCTCATATTAAATCCTGTCTGCACTAGTTTGGCCAGGAGGGATTAGACCTCTCGGTTGTGGTCACTGACAGGTGGTTATCTCATCAAATCAGCTGTCAATTAACATAAGAAAAAGGGGATTATGGGTGACCAACAGGCACCACTTAGGCATTGTATGCCATATAGAGGGCGCAAGTAGTTACAAGTAGTGCAGACAGGCTTTAAGAACTTTGTCTTCATTTTGAAATTGCTCCAGGTATAGTGCAAATGAGATCCACTTCAACCTGATGGCCCTCATCTCAGACAGGAGAATGATATTCAACAAAGAAATCAGCAGATTACAAAACCAACTCAAGGCAGTACAAGGCCAGGTATTCTTTCAAATTCGATCTCTGTTTTCCTATAAATGTTAAAGACCCTCCTGAACTGCGAGCTACCTTCATTCGCAGTTGAGTGCAAAGGCACTGGTATGTTTATGTTTCAGTCACATCTAAGAGCTGCAGGGAGGGGGTGGGGGTTGCCGGAAGATGCAGTGAAATGCTTTTTAAAAATATCCATGCTATGAGTATGTTTTTAATGGTAACCCGATAACAAACTGAAATTCATGATTTTGGAATCAACAAAACGAAACACCTGACATGGGTTTCAATGTGCAGATGTGATTTTTCATTAATTGCAAACCAATTGTCTACACAGAATGAGATCATCAAATTATTCCCCTGTTAAAAAGAGAAAGATAACGATAACTATATCAGTCAGTTTTGCTCAAAGGCTCACATATTTCAGTCAATGAGCCTTGAGCAATGTCTTGGATCCACTGTCTGTATTACACAATCTCCAGTGACCAGTTGTTTAGATATCATTGGCGATATGAACAAAGAGTGCTTGTTCCTATATGTCCAGGGGATGTTTCACAAAGATCCTAAGTTGAACTTATCTCCAGGTTGGACTTGACAATTATGGAAAGCCGTTAGCATCAATGAAAAAAGGTTGTTAAAAGTTTTTTAAAGGCATAAAATGTTGATTCAAATCATTCATATTTTCTATTATCAAGAAGATATGTTCTTGATGTGGAATTTATAAAAATCTAAATTACTTGAATTTTAGCTTTTAAATATATATTTATTTGAAGGCTACAAATGGCTCTCCATGATCTTTAATTCCGACTTAGAGTTAAGTTTGAATTAGGATCTTTGTGAAACATCCCCATGTACCATATTCTGTTGGCCGACATGTCAGGTGAGTCATGGTAGTTGTGCTTTTCAATTGCAGGAGGAGCTGATGGATACTGACCAATCAGGACCTGTGTCTGCTGATGCCATCCAATCAGAGCTGAGCAGGTATAGGCTCTTGCAGGAAGACGAGGATAGGAAAATCAAAACATTTAAGGTAATTTGACAGCATGCCATTGTACAGGGGAAAAAATATTTAAAACATTTTGGGGGCTACTTTTCAAGCTTGCTTGCATGAAAATAACACTCTTTAATTTGTTTCGTATTGAACTCTATGCACATTTTGGGGGGCTCTTTTATGACTTTCAGGGGCTCTTTTTGGCATTTCGGGGGCTAATTTGCCCAGAGCACCCATGTATTTTTTTCCCTGCCATTGTAATGTAAATGTAATGCCTCTCCAATGTGACTAGTTAGTGAAATGGCAATACTGTGTGTTAATACTAGAAATATTTCCATGAGAATTGCTAAGTGCAAGTGAATGCTACCACATGTACTAAGAAATAGAAAGTACTGTTTAAACTGAGCCATATCTCATTCACACTCATCATATTTAATGCAAATTTATGTTTGTTTTACCTAGTGTAATGCTCATGGGTGTTAGGCTGCACTTAATAGTAGCATACACCGGTTGTCAATACACATGTGATTAATCTGAGCTGTAGACTACACAGTATGTAAGCAAGGGTATGTTTAGTACATGTAGAGTGGGGCAAATGGGCCAAAAGTTGACTTCTTTTACTACTATTCTACTTAGCAGCTCAATTGACATTTTTGTCCACTGCTTGATGTTATCAGTCCATGTCTTAATTGGTCTGCCCCTTTTCTTTTCCTATTCTTTCCTCGTAAGATGGTGTTTGTCAAGCTATTCTTCCATCAAGTTACATGCCCAAACCTTCAGCTGTCTTCTTTTCACAATTGTGATAGAGTTGTTGTGTTCCCCTATATTACTCTCTATTAGGCCTATAAACAAACAAAAAATGTTGTATTGCCCTTTGCGACCAACCCAAAAATCTTGAAATCTATGGTCGGCTTTAAAAAAAAAAAAAAAACTAACCGTTTTTTAGGAAAAAATGCATTAAAGCATTCAAAACTGAGAAATATCAGCCCAAAGAGGGAGTAAAAAAAAAAGAAAGTTTTTCCGACCTCCCGACCAATGTTTTGGCACCTAAAGGGCAATACAACATCTTTTTTTGTTTAGGCCTTAGCTCTCTCACTTTCTTGTTGGATGTATGAATATGCAGAAGCCTTCTCATACAATACATCTCAAAAGCATTGATTTGCTTTTCCATCTCTGCATTCATTCTAAAAAGCTAATCCACTGTAAAACCAAAACACACTGAAGCTAAGGAGTTCTCACTCCAGACCCCAGTTCGGCCTACTCTGTTTGGGTTAGTTTTATGTGAGATTGACCCAGGTTAATTTGACCTAGCTGAAGTGTTTATGGGGAGAATTAATCAAACTGAGCATTTTTTTTTCAACACAAATTTTCAGTAATAATGTGAAGTGTTTAGATGGAATCAATGACCTCACTTGTCTCTCTCTCTTTATTGTGACAGGTAGAGAATGTAAGACGGAAGCACAACTACCTACCACTCATCATGGAGCTCCTCAAGATCTTAGCCAGCAAAGGAGAATTAGTGCCTTTAGTTAAAGAGGTACATATTCAAATACTAGGCCTGATAATTACCTGATTTAAATCGGTTTTCTGATTATTTTTTTTCCCAATTTGTTTCTTTCTTCTTTCTCTGATTATTCAAATAAAAAATAAAAATCTTCCTGATTTTACCCCTATTTCCCTGAGAGTTCCCATATTTTTCCCAATTTCCTTACTCAAAAGGTGGGATATTGTTTAGATGCCATTTATTTACCTGAATCCTTTTTGAGGAAAAAAATAAACCTATTTTATTTTTAGTAATAATACTAAATACACATTCAAATACACAACAAATAGCAACCTACAATACAAAAACTACTATGTTCAGCACCTTTCACTGCATTTTCATTTTAGAAAGTTGCAATGAGACAGGACTTTAAAATCAAAGCAAAACTTAATTTCATGAAGTCATATTGATGTATGTAGAACTTCAGTTTATTATTAATTAGTTAGTGATTAATTGATTAATTAGTGAAGATGCGTTAATACTTTTAATGTTATATGAATATCTGAGGCCCCTAGTCTTTACATGAAGTGTACCTTTAATCAATAGTCAGCATGGATCTGTTTTTTTTCTTCTTTTGTGTAAATAAATTTGTATAATATTTATGGACTTTATATTTCTTTTCTCTTTTTATTTACAAATGCACAATTTACGTCAAATGTGGAAGATTTGTCCTATACATTTCAACAATACTAATCCGCTGTATCCCTGTGTTCTGTTATAGGCAAAAGAGAAAGCTCTAGCAAAGCAGGAGAAGGAAAAGCAGAAGAAAGTGACTGAAGCAAGATAAGAATCGGAGAAGCCACCCTCGGATAGGACATTAACATGTATTGACAACAAAAGGGGACAGTAAACCAAAAGTTGATCCCCAGTGGCCTTCCACTCACCAAAGTCACAAAGCCACTGTTCTCTCAACTACTGTGACAAACCAAAAAAATTCACTTGCATGAAAAACTTGTAAATTCATGAGTGCTTCAGTTTAGTGAATGTTTCATGCCGCAATCAGAACTGATACACAACACTCGATTTTTGCAATTCATGAAAGTTTCTTGCCATCAAATTGGCCGTCCGTAAGAATTTACAAAATGCTCATGTCACAAAAATTTCTGGTGTAGACCAATGTTTTCTGCAGACTTATCCACTACCAATTCATCTGAAGCTAAGATATCATTCTCCATGTATCGTTATTAATGTCCAAGTATTAACTGTATCACGGTCATTTGCTATATCATTTTTTTGTTGTTGGTTGTATTTGTGTTTATAAGAAACTGTACTGCTGATTCATGATTACCTGCAAATATGTTTCTGTATTGTTCTACGAGCAAGAGACGTTATTTATTTTCATATTGACCCTTCATATTCATCCATATTGTAAGATTTTTTTCTTAGCTTGCTCAAAAGGTCATTCACACTATGAACATGACGGACAAAGAAAGAGGACAAAATATACAGTTCCTCATTCTACCCTCAACAATTGCTGTAATAGACAAAGGAACATCCCTTCACTGCTATTATGTAAAAATGTGTAGAACAGGTGAATATGCATGTGACACCTGTTCTACACATTTTTACATAATAGCAGTGAAGGGATGTTCCTTTGTCTACCACAGCAATTGTTGAGGGTAGAATGAGGAACTGTATATTTTGTCCTTTTTCTTTGTCCGTCATATTCATAGTGTCAATCAAAATGAAAAGGAACCTGTAGATGTAGTATCTGATGGTGTATGAATAGCAAGCCTGGTTGTAACCATGTTTTCATGATGTAAAGAAAATCAATTCTTGTTTAAATCATTAATGAAAGCCTTTCAAGCATCACTAGAATCTTTACTGTGATTGGCTAGTAGTATGAGACTGTGGATTCATTGCCTCTTTGCTCCCTGAGCTGATAGGATTGTCTATTGAAGTTTCAAAAACTAATTTTTATCTCCTGTTACTTTAAATATTTACTTTCTGGTGGGATTATGAAATTTTTTCTTTTGCACGCCAGTGCATGAAACATTCCAATGCCTTATCATTTGAATACGAAGCTCAAATGTATGGATTTTCTACAAGATTGTTTTAACCATGCTCATATTTAATGCATCACATACATTTTAAAGTGAAGATAGCCAGCTATCTTTTCCCTCCTAGTCTTCAATTGAGTAAAAAAAGTAAATAGGCAACAAGTACAATTCTGATCTCGCTCTGAATTGCTTTATCTTTTCCTTGGTTTGCCCCTCCCCCCCCCCCCCCCCCCATCCCAAATTCAATTTCAGATGTTAGATTTCAAGATTATGACACAGTGGTTATATAATCTATCTGGAGGGGCAAACAAAAAATCATTAGAGAGAACATGGGTTTGCCTTTGAATCTGTGATATTACTTTCAAAGTTTTCTCGTCCGTGGTTGTATATTCAACACCAATTTGAGCATTGATCAAAAATTTCCCTAACATTTTCTATTAGTTTGTCCAGATATTAAGTATGGAATTTGTTTATGTTCAGTGAATATCTGCCCAACATTACCAATGTAATTAAAGATATGGAAAAATTAATATTAAAAGTTTATAAAAAAAATACATGTGTATGGTGTTGTGCTTAAATGTGAAACCAGAAATAAAATAAAAAACATTTTAACATTGGAAAAAAATGTGTGCGTTAGAGGGAGAGAGAGAGAGAGAGAGAGAGTGTGTGAGAGAGAGGGAGTGTGGGTGAGAGATAGAGAGAGTGAGTGTGTGAGAGAGAGAGTGTGAGTGAGAGATAGAGTGAGTGTGTGAGAGAGAGTGTGGGTGAGAGATAGAGAGAGTGAGTGTGTGAGAGAGAGTGTGGGTGAGAGATAGAGAGAGTGAGTGTGTGAGAGAGAGTGTGGGTGAGAGATAGAGAGAGTGAGTGTGTGAGAGAGGGTGAGAGATAGAGAGAGTGAGTGTGTGAGAGAGAGTGTGAGTGAGAGATAGAGAGAGTGAGTGTGTGAGAGAGAGAGTGTGAGTGAGAGATAGAGAGAGTGTGTGAGAGAGAGTGTGGGTGAGAGATAGAGAGAGTGAGTGTGTGAGAGAGAGAGTGTGAGTGAGAGATAGAGTGAGTGTGTGAGAGAGAGTGTGGGTGAGAGATAGAGAGAGTGAGTGTGTGAGAGAGAGAGTGTGAGTGAGAGATAGAGTGAGTGTGTGAGAGAGAGTGTGGGTGAGAGATAGAGAGAGTGAGTGTGTGAGAGAGAGTGTGGGTGAGAGATAGAGAGAGTGAGTGTGTGAGAGAGAGTGTGGGTGAGAGATAGAGAGAGTGAGTGTGTGAGAGAGGGTGAGAGATAGAGAGAGTGAGTGTGTGAGAGAGAGTGTGAGTGAGAGATAGAGAGAGTGAGTGTGTGAGAGAGAGAGTGTGAGTGAGAGATAGAGAGAGTGTGTGAGAGAGAGTGTGGGTGAGAGATAGAGAGAGTGAGTGTGTGAGAGAGAGAGTGTGAGTGAGAGATAGAGTGAGTGTGTGAGAGAGAGTGTGGGTGAGAGATAGAGAGAGTGAGTGTGTGAGAGAGAGAGTGTGAGTGAGAGATAGAGTGAGTGTGTGAGAGAGAGTGTGGGTGAGAGATAGAGAGAGTGAGTGTGTGAGAGAGAGAGTGTGAGTGAGAGATAGAGTGAGTGTGTGAGAGAGAGTGTGGGTGAGAGATAGAGAGAGTGAGTGTGTGAGAGAGAGAGTGTGAGTGAGAGATAGAGTGAGTGTGTGAGAGAGAGTGTGGGTGAGAGATAGAGAGAGTGAGTGTGTGAGAGAGAGAGTGTGAGTGAGAGATAGAGTGAGTGTGTGAGAGAGAATGTGAGTGAGAGATAGAGAGAGTGAGTGTGTGAGAGAGGGTGAGAGATAGAGAGATAGAGAGAGTGTGTGAGAGAGAGTGTGGGTGAGAGATAGAGAGAGTGAGTGTGTGAGAGAGAGAGTGTGAGTGAGAGATAGAGTGAGTGTGTGAGAGAGAATGTGAGTGAGAGATAGAGAGAGTGAGTGTGTGAGAGAGAGTGAGAGATAGAGAGAGTGAGTGTGTGAGAGAGAATGTGAGTGAGAGATAGAGAGAGTGAGTGTGTGAGAGAGAGTGTGAGTGAGAGATAGAGAGAGGGAGAGATACAAGGAGACGGGATAAAAGTAAAAACATACACACCTTCAAACATTCCCCACCCACATTCGCGCCCATCACGCAAACACTTGTACATACCACACACCCATATGAGGTGCAAACTCATGGGGAGCATCTTGTAGGCGGAGGTTTTGAGGTACATAATGTAAAACCACATATCCGTTGGAAAACGTGAATTTTCAGCTTTGAACTTTTTATCTTGAGGAAACACATTTTTAGCCCCCTGGGGCAAATAAAGGTTCAAACATATTGGCCCGAATTCACAAAGGAGGTTTGTCGACAAACCTAGGTTTATGTGCGTCATAATATGACGCGTTTTGACAATTCGGGCCATTATGTCACCTCCCTGGTTTTACATCATATCGGTGAATACTGTCATTGGTTGCACTATTCAGTGCCATTGTTATTGATCTAATACCGCCATCAGTCGTTGGGCATTGGTCTTAAAATATATATAGAGAGAGAGGTATTCCACGGAAGAAGAGAGAGAATACGGACGGTCACAGAGAGAGGGGTAGTGAGAATGGGAGAAAGAGTATAGGAAAATGTATTTTACTATGCAGTGTTTTTATAAATGTAATGCTTCCTGGGAGAAATTTCAATAGTTTAAATATATTTGTGGCTTACACCAAGTAAATAAGATCGATTGATCGATCTGTAATTGAAAAACAAGTCAGAAAAAATCTCGGAACCAGCGGGATTTGATATGCAGTGTTCGTGCTGTTTGTCAAGGGAGCCGAGTAGAAGTCTAGTAAAGAGCAAGGCTAGAACGTTGGTAGTCTTGGGATATGTGATGATCAAATATTAGCAGAAGATACGTTTGCCAGGAAAGACTATATGTTAGTTGAGTAGAAGAAGAACAAAAAGGAGAACAACAAGCAGAAGAAGAAGAACAACATCAAGAACAAATGAAGAATGGTGATTTACTAAATCACGAATTGGTTACAACATTTTAAAGCTGTTAGCAAAAAGAAAACGGGCACGACATAATTGTCAGCGACTAACAAGGAGAAACTTTACTACTGCACATTCCTCCTGAACTAAGTTCCCTGGTAACGTGACGTCACAACAATTAAAATCGATGTTATCTGGGTTTATTTTAAATTCCCTTATAGATCCCACTTGAAGCAAACGATCTTTACCACACGGAGCAAAATTTAATTGCGATATAAACTGATTATTTTCTTATTCAAGGAAGTAACAACCTATTTACGGGTTATACCGAACCACAGTTATTTGTATTTGTTTGTTTTTAAACTCAAAGTAAAAGGAAATATACGGAGTAAACTGTCCTTTTAAATTAATATAATGTATTCTTGCTGTCATTAAAAAGTAATTGTACTGCCGGCATGTAACGATTGCAGAAATGATATTTGATCAATATTAACAAAATGAGCAAAATGCCTACAACGGTGTGAATTTAAAATATGAACTGAATGGGTGCCCGAGCCCCCCCCCCCCCCTCTTGCCCATTATACCTCATTCGAGGAAGTAAACGTCAATCAATCAAATCAATTTTTCACACCTTTCTTAATCTAACTGTTGCATGCGACCACATGTTACTGCCGCCAATCAAACGAGAAGGAAACGGTGTTTCCCTGCTAGAGTTTAATGGTCCCCAGGGGATTAATCAAGGAGTGTGTTAATTAGCACCATGCTTTGCGCCCTAACCCACTTCCATCGCGCCCATGTGTACCTACACATGTTTCACCGTTTCCGCCACAGTCACGCAACGATTTTGTTCCACAATTTCGTGCGACAATTTTGTCCACCTAATAGAAAGAAAGAAACAAATATACTTTGACTTATTTGAACTAAAAGTCTCTTCTAACAACCCTTTAAATAAATACAAAGCTTTGTTGGTCAGGTGGCATCAGCAGAGCTTTTGAATAAATTGCCACAAAATAATATTAAAAATCGTGATACTGTTGACAACTTTGAAATACCTCTTCATATTTCTTCTTCGAATTATGAATTATGATGAGAGCATCTCACTCTTCTCAATATTCTTTTGTTTTTCTCGTTATTTTTACCTTCTCTTTATTATTTACAGCGCATTTTTGGACACATTATTGGTGATCCGTGATAAGCGCTATATAAGTATGGCATATCGTTAGAATGATTAGGAAACTAACTTTTGTTGTAAAAGTTAAAGGGAAACTGACTAACCGACGTTTCTAATGAGTAAGAATCATATGTCTAGATAGAAATTAATATTTACATATACATATATAAAAACATGTTAGTATTCTGTGTATTCCAAGATCAAGTTCAAGTTTCAAGATATTTTTCTG